AAGGTGTAGAGTTTGCCCGTGCAGGGAAAGGGCCGTTTCCCCGGTCTGCCTTTCTGGGCGCGGTTAAATGGTTGTTTGTGAGTTTGGTTCGTAGCCGAAGTTTTCTAGCCGAAGTTAATTGCTGTGGTCTTGTAGATCTGGCCTCGTCTCGAGGTTGATTAGTTCCTAAAGCGATAGCACAGGCTGTTTGACTCCCTTCCTTCGTTGATCATCGGTGCAAAGCAGCAGCCCAAGCCCTCTTTGAGCGTCAAAGTCAAAGGAGTACGTGGTACTAATCCTCTAATGTCAGCCCCTGGAAGAGAAGTTCATCAGGAGGTAATGGCCCCAACGGACGACCATAAAGAAATTGAAACGGCTGTTTGGGACGGCATTACGCATCCTCGGTGCAGACGTCCTCGTCCTCTATGAACTACTGGCTTACTGGAGCTTAAGAACGCCATCCTGGAGCGGGCTGGAGCTGAGAACATGCAGAATACTATTCGAGACAGCAGTGAAGGATTTATGCCCACGCTACTCCGTACTGACCCCTATTGTCTGCATCATTCCACCAGTTCCTTCTGCTGATCACTCCTGCAAAGCCTCTATCCTTACTCCCCCCGATCCAGTCAGGGTGAAGTGTCACTGTTACTCCATGCATGAGAGAAGAAAGACTGTGGGAAAATGGTCGTGCAATCCGAAAACAGCGGGAAGGGCGCAGCCTGTAAACTTTGGGGTCACTCTATCTAAGCCTCAGAAGGAAGTGCGTTTGACTATTTCGGTAGCTAGAATGTTCTGCTGATGATGGAAGCTCATGTTCTCCTGAAATGGTCATTTGCAATCGCAAGAACCCTGCGGTTCGTCTATCCAGCGGCAGTTGGTTGGCTATAGGGGATCAACAACTCATCTTGAAGGACTATCGACATAGGGAATGGAATAGAACTATCTACAAAGAAGATATCAGGGGGTGTGCCACAAAATACCCGTAAAATCTGCAAGATTCAGGATCCGTTGCTTTTAACACAGATCGCGACAGGTCATTCTAATTCCGAACCTGAGGATCATCGTGGCTCTGGCCAGTCACCGGGACTTGATGTTTCGTGCAAAATCAGATTGAACTTTTGGCAATGAGTATGAATCCATCGTGCTCTTTCATCGTGACATTGAGATGCTCAGAGAAATTCGTCATCATTAAGAAAGCCTGCGCAGCGTCCAACTCAGGAAGATACTAAACTGAGGCGTATGCCGGCCATCTATCTACAAAGTCCCACAGCTGATGAAGTAGGAGCTATACTCGATGTACAGAAGGATTGAGTGTGCCATTGCTTCGTTGTTCCTGCATGAGTTGGTGCTTTCATCTTCCAACATGGAATGGATCTGAGACTGCTTAGGAATGAAGATGTCTCACTACTCAACTACCTCTCAACCAAGGTGCTCATTTCTGATCTCCACCAACTCGTGACGAGCACGATGACAACTTCTCATCAGTCCATACATTCTTACACGGAAATCGGTAACGTAGTTGTCCGCATCTACCTTCAAATCGTAGACCTATTTCCATGGAAGTACCGGGGAATCATCTTTGGGGTATGGAACTAGTTCGTAAGCCTCATGCTCCTGCAAGTGTGTCTAGTTGCGGACGCATTGCAGACTCCTAGTGATTCTTAAATTGATATCCCATGGCTTCCCTGTGCCATGCCCACCGTATTATGAGGGGCTATCAAAGAGATTCTTTGCTCCGTTTTCAGAATCTGTGGGGTGGTTCCTTGTAGATAATCAGGGGAGTCGGTACTTGGGCTGCCGTATGGAGGAATGTTGGTGCTGTCGGGCACTTGGCCGAAGCTGCCTCTTCTTCGCTTTTACCCCTCTCATTTGTCAGTAATTTTTTCTAGGAATAACACTGGATGGCACAAACATCAGAAGTTTGCGGACGGGATACGTCTCCGCACAATGTCCAAACGGCCTGCTTCTCGCTCCGTCAACTTGGATGCCAGGAGTCCAAGCCTGTGACTAATTGGTCAGCTGCAGCAATGGAGAACTCATAATTCCATCCAAGTCCAGTCCAACATGGCCAGCCAGGATTCCATTCCCCCAGAAACCAGGAGACCCCACAGAGGCGCCCGGTGAAACTCTCCATCCTCAGTTAGGCTGGACTGGAGTTCTCTCGACCAAAAGGGACTGTCCTGCGTGATGAGCGTTGCACACCACTACAAAGTGGACTGGCAGAGAAGCCTTAAATCGTATTTCTGCAGCGCTGTAGGTTTCGATCTCTGTTACTTGCCATGTCGTGTATCATGGCGATGAATGACGAGACGGAGGCGACGATGGGTACACATCCGTTGCCGGCTGTTTTTTATATGATCGAGTAAGGTCTTTATTGCTGCGTGTCAACTCGTCGCTGCCTTCTCTAACGCCACCCAGATTATGGTTCCGGTGAAGTGAACTGGGTTTTTTCTACTTCAGTCATTCTGGAGTTGAAGGCGCCCTTGGTAACAGAACTTGGTGGCGTGGGGTAACTGGGCAGTGACAATCGACTTAAACAGTCTCCAGGACCACCGCAGGGTCCATGTGTGCGCGCGCAGGAACCAAGCGTCCGGGAGCATCTCCACTTTCTGGGGGGACACATAATGTGCTTCTGTTCGCACCTTCTTTGAGGGGGATTTCACGGCGATCTTGGGAGATTAAAAACATCACTTGGTAGATTCTCAAGCTTTGTTGTATTACCATGATGTGCTAATAAAGCATTAGTTAGGACAATCAATCAGTGCAGACTAGTACAGTTATAGAGAGAGAAGAGTAATAACTTACGGCATTTTGTATTTTGTGATGTGGTCAGTTTAAGGAAGTCATATGGTAGTGCCTGATCAGAAAGTTGGTTTTCACTCGTACTTATCCAGCTCAGGATCCCAGCCGGCAACTTTATCAGAACGCAAGAGCATTTCGCACCCCGATTGGCCTAAACGCAGTTTGCGCAAGACCCCTTGTAGAGAGCGCAGTCGTTGTGAACGGGAGCTTACTGTTCTTGAATGAAGGTGGAGGGAGAGTTTCATCCTTCAGGCATGCAAATCTTTGCATACCTCTTGCACGCTACCGTGCCTGCGAACTCTTCATGAGGGAGGCACTTCATTGACTCCCATGTCTATTATATGATGGCATGCCGTTCTAGGAGAACCAGTGCGACTGGTCCTCGCTGCAACAGACGTGTTCCCTGGCTTCGGCAGGAAGATATTCTGCAGGTCACACCGCGGGTAGCAGATACTCGCCAAAGGTCATCGCTCGAGTACTTTGCAAAGAATTGCCCCTCCCTCGACCCCATGTCAATGTTCTTCACGTTGCAGTAAAAGCGCGCAAGGGGACTAGGACAGGTGAAACCTATCACACCTCAAACATGTGGCTGCCAGACTTTGTAAGTCCAGTAGATGGCGCTGCTGTTGTTGGGATTCGCCCATACAATGTTGCACTCGCGAGGTTGGATTATAGCACCTTGGTAACTTTTTATATAATCTCGAAAATAGAGAGACAATCGGGAATAATCTGGTACTCGGTTCCTCACTGGACGTGTTCCACCAACATTCCCAGTGTTGATGTGATAATGTCTCTGCAAGCGGGTAACGTCTCTCTGCCTAGGTCCTCCGAAGGTCAGATTATCTTTGGCACAACTGACCTGAACGGTTCCTCTGCTAGCGGAGTGCCATGGGGAGCGCCTTCACAGCCAACGCCTCTCCTGTTGGGTCTGATAAATCGGTAAACTTAGTGTCAATCCGGGAAGATTGGCTTATTGCATTTCACAATGACCGGGACGTTGATGTGTGCGGCCTCGACCATCCAGAGATCCTTGTCCTGGAGTAGACAGGAGTATGACTCCGATAATCCTACTTCGAAGGAATGGTAGGCAGAGGTTACCCGTTTGTTTTGATGTAAAGTCGGGTTTCTTGAACGACAGACCGTATGGAGGTGCGAATGAGTCAAATCCTACAGGACTCTGTCAGATATGCAAGAAGCTGAAGAGGACGTAACCCACCAGTGTTAGCCATGAAATTCATATCCTCCAATTAATCTGCAGTCAAAAACCTCGCCGCCGAGCGCCCTCCATGTGATCTTGTGTATCCACTCCTTCTCCTGTCAAGGTAGTGGGTTGCAGACGTGCGGTACTCCGAGAAAAAAAAAAAAAAAAAAAAAAGACGTAATCTTGAGGCGCTATAAACACGTTGCATAGCTTTGAGTGGGGACCTAGGTCGCTGAGGGCGTACAGCTTGAGACCACCCACGGGATCTCGTTCGTCCGACCACTGGTATGGGAATTGCAGTTTGTTCTTGATAGACGCAGGTCACATGAGGGTTCCGACAGGAAGGAACATTTGCATTGGACTTTATGCACTGCTGAGGACCTCATCTTCCCGTCGGGGGTGGCTTCGCAGAAACCGCCAAGATTGGCAGCGCCAGCGTTTATTCGCCAGCTGTGTCATGGCATCCTTTGTGGTCGATGTCGGCCACCTGGTAATTGGGAAGAAGGGTAGTCTGAGATGCTGTAGTAGAAGATCCAAGCGTTAGATATATAGCTGGGTTCTTTAGCAACCTGGGGCCTGGGTTATCAATGCATGTCTCACTTTATGAAAGGAAGGAAGTCTCTGGAATTTTCCCTCTAGACCATGCTTTGCCATTATGCAACTAACCAGTCCGCAAAGGGAGAGAGTATATTCAAAGAAACTGGATATTGGAGGTTGAGAGAACAAGACCCCCGACAGGAGCAATCTGCAGGGGAAGTGGTAGATTCGCTCCCAGAAAGAATCAAGCTTTTAGTGAATAACTTGACATCTCACGAATGAGCTTGATTCACTGCTAAAAATCAATCAGGCGATTAGGTTCAATATCCTATTATTGTCTGGGCTTATGTGAATACGAGGCTGATCGCCATTTTGTATGCGCGATTTTCCTTGACAAAATGCCTCATCCAAGAAACATAAAAGCAATCCGCCTCAGGAATTTTTTATGTATATACTCAAGCCAAACCTCTTACTACGTATCATGCCTCCATCCAGATCCCAAGACAACACCCCCTCCTGCTTCACCGACACCCACGGTGTTATCACCACGACAACCAACGACCTCCCCGGCTACAAAATCACCAAAGTCCTCGGAACAGTCTACGGCCTCACCGTCAGAACCCGCAATTGGGGCACTGATCTCGGCGCGATCGTGCGCTCGTCTGTGGGCGGTGAGCTCCGCCCGTTCACCAATCTGATGTATACGTCGCAGAATGAGGCCGTCGAGCGACTAGTCGGAGAATGTATGGGGCGCGGGGGGAATGCAATCGTTGCGATGAGGTTCGATGTCTCGAGTATTGGGGCTTGTTCGCAGGTGTGTGCGTATGGGACTGCTTGTGTGGTGGAGAGGATTGAGGGGTAATGGGCTAGCTTGCCTTGTCTTTGGTGATCAAGCATGTTACAAAGTTTGACTCGAGTACTGAAGGGTTTAGTGGTCGAGACTTTCTTGCGGGGCCCTAATCATCAAAAGGTTCTGTATAGGTATATAGATTAATGGGGTTCTTCATCTAGTCCCGGCGTACTCGCAGATTGAACTATGAGACCGTGAGAGAAGCATACGACACAGGATTGAACAGTGGCTCATCCGGAGACTGTCAGCTTTGAGACTTCATTAAATGAACGAGTGATCTGAGTTTGATAATCGGTGACGATACAGGTCTTAGATCCAGTCTTGCACTGCCCATGGTGATCACATCCAAAACCTCCGAGCCAGTGCACCAAATTTCTCATCATCCTCTGGGCCCCATCTCAAATCTTGAAAGTCCCTATACAGCGGAATGGTTTCCGGAGGTAAGGTCGAACATGACTGAAGTGCGAGATGCTGCGTAAGCCGGAGGAGACCCTTCGAATGCTCCCATCGCCGGGCTGATACACGCAGTGCAACACAAAGGCTGACGAACGCCTCTTTGCTCTCTGGTGTAGACAGGTCCTCCAGCAGAGTGAGCAGCGAGATCGTTATCCATTGGCTGAGGGGCGCAGAAATACGGTCCAAGCCCCATAGTCGTCGACGAAGTTCAACTAGCCGAGCTACTTCATGCGCCGCGTGAAGGCGCATGGCTCGGGCTCTCGCATTTGAGGGAGTACTAGTATTGCTCATTCGTACACTTCCGAAGGACTTTTGCGGAAAGTTGTACAGTGAGATCATGATTGTGTGGTAGTATATGCTATACTCAATGAGTGACACGTAATCATTGTCAAGGGTCCAATTGATAACACTCACTGGGTGCCGAGGACCTGCGGGGAAGACCTTTCTGTATCACTTAGCCGCATGCAGGACGGTACATGGGCCTTCCAATCTTCAAGGCGCTTGAACGAGGCTTCGACACTTTGATCTACAGCTTCGGGAGAGAGATACTTCCAGCTCTTGGAGAGCAATAGACATATGTCATTGACGATCAGAGTCAAGTTGCAGAGACTGTTGATCAAGCACGATTCATGGCTTGTAGTAGCTGGCTGGGAATTCGGATATGGAGCCCACTGCTCACCCGCGAGACCCTCAACGTGGAACACCAGTGGACGCGCACATTGCGGAACCCCGATCAGCGGCCGGCGCCGGTAGGTGATCAGATTTTCCCTAGACGTTGCAATGACTTAGAACCGCCCGGTCTGACGTGAGAGTTCTCGATCATCCCACACTCACAAAAGAATGTTGTACACCCCCCAAATTGCTATGCTACAAACATTGTCATACTGTTGCTCATTTCCGCTGGGCTTTGGCGAAGCATATGTCATTGAAGTGGAGAAGTTGCGTAACGCGTCGACTATTCGACCCTCATACACTCGAGCTAGATGGTTGTTACCGAACGTACACGTGCTATCAAAGGTTAGACGCAGAAAGTCTAAACAGAGAATTTGCGGGCGAGGATAACAAATTATCGTTCTCGTTACCATCTCCATAGAACGGCTAATCCCTGAATGGTGGCCAGGCTGAGTCGCCTCTCCTCCTCGTGGAGCTTCTGTGCTTGCTGATAAAAGCATTCAGCCAGGGAATGAGAGCTGTCGTTCATGTAGCTTCCGTTTTCGGAGTGAGAATCATCCAGTAGTGCCTACGATTCCGTCATAAGGATCATCAAACCACGGAGGACACCAATGGATCACTCACGCAAGCGTCAGCTAATATGGCGTTCACCAAGAAGGGTGAGCAGTACTGACACACCACATTCCCAGCCCGCATGTCTCGCACGAAGAGGCTGCGGTCAATACACGGAAACATGGAATGATTCCAAGTAAACCACAGCGAAACGAGCTCCGAAACAAACGCATTGTTGCACTGGACCACCGTCCACGGCTTAGCGGGAACGTTGAAAGAACGCGGGTGAGCGACCTGCTGTGCCTTCCGTGACTCAAAGGCTGGCCCTTCTACGTCAAGGAGAAAGCGAATTTGACGCCGAAACTCCGTCACCTCGGATGTGTCCTCGATTGTACCCAGTTTCAGATGGTCCGTTATATACTCGCGAATTTCTTGCAATGAAGCATGACTCCGAATCATATTCACAAGGTGAGAGACATGGCGTTCATTGCTACCTCGAAGGGCGCTCACGAGCTGAATTAGAAGTTCTTGGTCTTGCTCCATCATTGCTGCCTTGCGCTTCAGAGCCCCTTTTCGTCGTAGATCATTACTTTCGTCAACGATGCATTCGATTGAATTTTCGAAACAGCGTGCACAAGGCCGTCCACTGTCACACTGCGTCTGGTCAGTCATGGGCTTCAAGCAAGTCGATGGAAGCTGACAGGTGGGTATTATTTTGATCACCAACTGATAAACTTCGGCGCCTGAGTCAGAGAACTCGCAATTACCTTTTGTTTTCTTTCCCGGCATGCGACACATGCTCTTGTCTGCTTTCGCCTTGGTGGTAGGGACATTGCGCCTTAGATTAGGTAGGATAACCAAGAAACAGCGTGTATGTGTTGAACTTGTGGGAAGTTAACGCGTCCGTTCGTATGTACCGGTGGAGTGCCTGACATATTGGGATTTGTGGTCTGAAAGATTGAGACGGAATCAGAATTGGGATATATCATTGTGGCAATGTGGCTGATGTGAGAGTGTATTTGCCGCACCTCGCCCCAACATGGATGGAAGAGATAGATTGATGAACTGCTTGAAATCAAGACCCCCTAGCAGCTCCTGATGGCATTAGGTGGATGGGTGAAATATCCGGTGCATTATCCTCTTGGGTTGTGGCTCGCAGATCATTGCGTCAGTCATCCTCAAAACTTGGAGCTGACAGCTGAGACCGGGAGCATGAAAACTAGTAGATACGTAACAACCAATCACTTTCAGGCCCCACAGTCGTCATTGCGAGGATTTACGAGATAACTTTTATAAGTCCATGGCTGTCATATGCCTTCACAGCCACTAGAGGACGGGTTATTTGTTCTTTGTTGACTCCGCATCTGTCGCGTGTCCTTTGCTGTTCAGAAACTGATACCTCTTGAGGAAATTCACCCTTTCTTATATCTACCCATTTTCTGTCCGCAATGTCGGATCCCTTCAGGGTTCGTTACTTGGCTCCAGCGTCGAGCTCAGATGGCCAAACGCTGCCGGCGAAACGCACATTGAAATCGATTAGAACTCGTCGTAACGCGTCCTTGTCATGCTCAGCATGCAGGCTTCGGAAAACAAAGGTTCGTGTTTTGATAGACAATAGGGTGGCTCCTGTTGCTGATAACCTCTTCAAATAGTGTCAGGGCGGACCTCCCTGCGAAAACTGCGTGAAATACAAGACGGAATGTCGGAGAGAGGAAGACAAGGATGGACGCCGACAGACATCCCTGAAACGAAAGCTTATCGAACTTGAAAAGGACCGCCATCTTCTCGTGCGGCTACTCGAGACCATTCGAGACGAAGAGGATGTTAAAGTCACGCAGCTGCTCAATCTCATTCGCAGCAATGCTCTGCATGATGACACTCGATCTTCGGTCGCGGATGGAAGACAGCGGTCGAGACGCAGAATCCGCCCCGATGCTGACCAGGTTGTAAACGAGGACATTTCGACTGCGCATGACTCTATTGAACCACGGACTCGCCGCAACATCATGGCAATAAGAAGCCTCTGTAACACCACATAATGTGCCTGCTGAGTTGGGCATCGGTTACTGATGACGATGATCCTTGTCTCCCGCCTCATGCCGCTATCAATGAGGCTCTCGAACCAACCGCTTTAGAACCTTGCAGCCAAAGGAGAATGACCAGGGGACGCTGCGCCCGTATCACGGAGATCAATTTCCGGCACATACAAAGTTCTTACTCTCTTCATTGACAGTGTTAGCGATATTATTACAGAAGCATCGACCCCGTTATATGGCGATGAAAAGTCTCCTCTGAGCGATCACGCAGTGTCCTCGGTTTCTTCGATAACCCTTAACAGCATTTCCACAACCTTGCATCTGCGACAAATAACTCGCTTTCTCTCCGGAGGTTCTGACTGACGGGATGGTCATCGTGGACGGTTGGTAGCGGAGGATTAGGGGGCGCATGATTTATATTATCCTGGCTTGAGGACGCGCAGATACGCCAGGGGACAAGTCTTTGAATGGACTATGATCTAACATTCTATGTTTCCCATATGTCGGTAGCAGCTCATTAGAGCAGGGATCTGGACACCAAGCACTTATATAAGCACCGGAAGAGGAGCTTGGCAGATACTGGGTAGGTGTATAAGCAACCGACTCCGCTGGGACATCTGGAGGAAAAAGGGCAGACTGCATTATACACTCGCCTCCAAGGTGATCATGACCCCTAGTCGCTGCTGGCAAAGAGTCCGCAACAGGGGAAGCTGAGACCAATGCCGATGGGTGTAAAGCATAGTAGGACTGTGGTTTCCCAATGGGGGAAGTAAGATATTGTGACTTCCACTGCGAACTCAAAGTCAGCTCCGGGCAATGGTACTCCTCATGACATTGCCCCCGAGATATTCTTGCTCCACCTTTCGGATTTTGTGTGGTCGTAGATCTTCCTGTTGTGCTTCAGAGTATAATTGTCTGTATCGAGGAGAAGACCGTTGCTGAATGAACCAAGTTGCTAGGTCCTTTTTAGGACCGTAGGCTCTATTCCAGAGAGTAGCAAAAAGACCAGAGTCATTGATTGAGCCAAGCTGAGAAACCGAGACAGACACCACGGTGTCATATTTTGTTGTAGAAGTTGCAACGCTCCGAGGCTGGAATAATCGTCGGCTTTGCGCCCGACTGTTGACACCCGTCCCGGAAAGAAGCAATGAGATCTTCACTCAACTCGTCCCCCATCTGTGAAAGCCCAGGTGGGGCTAACAGTATTGCGTCTGGGACTGATGGAGAAAATGCCCAATGGATAATACATGTTATGTCATGGTCCTCGTCAACATAGATGTTATTAACGCTCAGATCAGCGTGCCATAGTGGGGAAGCCTCCCAAGCAGGGACCTCGAAAATTGAGTATTTCCATCATATCCCGGAGAGCGTCGCCGGCAATAACGTAATTGACCCTGTTCTCAGAAGAATCACACTTCGCTCCAACCGCCACGAAACCATTCCATAGATCGCATGCTTTTCGACATTGAGCGTCAGATTCGTGGTCACGCCGAGAAGGGATTGCTGCGGTGAAGCAATGGTGTTGATAGCGGCAGAACTTCAGCATGCTGTGTAAACGCAGCGACAAGGCTGTCATAAAATTTTGTTTCGGAGGAAAAAGGCTCGCGAGGTACTTCCTCTAAGGTATACCTTTGCTGCAATACCTGACCACGTGAAAGGCATTCTTTCACTTCAAAAGCACCTCTTCCTCGAACAGAGAGCCAATCCGGTCAAGGCGCACATGCAGAAGCTTGTGAGCGATGGCGCCCAACTGACGGAGAACCTTAACTTTCTTATGCTCGGCTAGCTCTGGATGATTCAACGCTGCTAATTTCCATGTGTCTGACAGCGGCCGACCAGGGGCTCACTCATCAGAATGTACGGGATTCCAATATCATTATCGTACGTACAGCTTGTAGAGTCAGCTGAGGTAATGATCAGATTTAGAAATCTCATACCTGTAATCATAAACCTCCGGAACTGGTATATCGCTCTTCAACCTGAGATAAGGTAGAGTAGCAGTCGCAGGGCACTTGCCAGGCGACATAGGGCTTCAACGTTGAATTTGGCGTATCTAAAGATTGCAGGTTTCTTACCTTCTGGCATCGTAGCTGTAGATCCTGCGCCAAAGAATGAGTCTGGGTTTGAATATTTGAATGAAGACGGATGTTAGAAAGAAAGAGGATGTCAGTGTTGCCCAAAGGTACCTAAATAAGAGGCAAGTTGTTTGGTGAACGACTAGGCACTGTTTACCTGCTTTGTCCAATCTAACTGTCAAAATGACGAGTTGTCGACTGACTTTGGCAATCCTCTTAGCGACCAAGATCGACCGATCAACTATGGCTCATATGCAGATGACAGTAGTCAAGGATACTACGTGACTCGTGATGGATCGAATGAATGGGCTGGTGTGGTCCGGTCGAACCGTCAAAGAACAATCATGTAAGTGGGTGACCATAGCGAGAACGAACATAAGTTTCATCCTAGGTATAAAAAAGCCCTCACACAGGCTTGCTCTGGATAAGATTGTTCTTGATGAGTTCGATCTCAACATCGACAAATTCCAGAAACCTCAAGTATCCTTCGCCTCCACCATACGTCAAGTCAAGGTACACAAGGAACGCTCTCATGACCTCTCTTGGTGCCAGGAAGCGTTTTTCAAGGTTCTCAGGTGGACAATCATCAAAGATCGAAAGACCGGGAAGTCTCGCACTCTCCTCAGGTATCAGTCCCTCAATTTCAGCCTCAGAACGGTGGTACTCCTCGATGATATCTTCATCCGACACACCCAGCAACTTGAGGACAACCGCAATGAAGACTCCCGTCTCGTCTTTTCCCAAGGCGTCGTAAACAAGAAGTGGGAGGTCGAACCCATCCCGGATGTGTGCAAGTATGGCTCTGTACGCAGGGGCAGACACGGTACAGTAGTGCTCATAGATCACCATGAAACCTTCGACTACGTCGTGAGGAAGCCGGTTGAAATGTTCAAGGAGTGTTTTTCGGCTAGCTTCCCAACTTATGGCGGGAACATGATGTATGGTAATGCCTTCGATGGCAATGGTTGTCTTGTTGGAGTCTTTGTCTGAACAGAGGTCGAAGATGTCTCTGATACCGAAGTGATCTCGCAAGGCCTGAAGTCCAGCTTGGGAGACGTTCCTCAGATTGGCTGAGCGGAAGAGATATCCTCTTCGCACGGATTTGTTGCCGGCCAGTTCGTAGCCTCCAACGTCTCGGAAGTTGAATAAGCCTAGGATCTGAGGACAGCAAGACTCCTGTTCTGGTTCCTGGCTCGAACCCCAGAGCTTTCCCTTGATTGCACAAAGATGACGGTTCTCTTTCATGTTGTTGGATTCGTTTATGAGTGTAATTGTGGTGCTGCAGATGAAGTGCTGAAATCTGGTCCAGTCCAGCAGTTTGCGCCGACCTTTATACACCCCTAGCTTTTGAAGGTCCTCTCTAACTATTTTGTACCACCTCACTGATTTCTTTGTGGCAGTCGGTGCGAAGGAATGGGATTCAACCCCTCGACCTGCTTATACTCAGCAGCAGTCTTGATTGACGTACCCTGCACGCGTCAGATTCATAGTCTCAGGATAATGGATCCCTCGACGTCAGAGAAAGTCCTACTAAAACTGGCTGCGTATCATGATGATGTTGAAGCTGTCGTTACACGGTGTTCATCATCTCTGTCCTTATGTTGTCGGAGATATGATCGTCCCCCTTGCTGACCATGACGTACAGAAGAATGTGGAAATACATACAGAAGCCTGACAGATATCGCTTGTCCACCCTTCGCTGACTGCGAATATCTTCAGTAGCCAGCCCCGAGTTTGTCTATTCCGAAAGGTTCTGATCGCATCTTCCACAATGTAAACAGTTACGTGGACCGTCCCGCAAACTGGGGACACTTTGGGGCGACGTCCTTGACGTCCTTTAACATTAACTCAAAAGATTGTTGCCTTCGACGTATGAGTTAACGAATAATAAACTGTTTTAATTCGACAGATAGTACGATATCTCCTACAATCCATTTCGCCCTAGTCAGGAGCTGAGAGAACTTTCTATCACAATGACTGCAGTAACCACGAAAGTACTAGAAACAACACAGTATACAATGTAGATGAACATATGCGGAGGCTGCTATTCTGTTAACAGTGATTTGCAAGATTAGGGCTATCAGGCTGAGTTCAAACTAGAAAAGGTGAGACACTAGCCGAGAACTTGTGAATATACTCTTACAACGCACTACGTCAAAGCCAGGCCCAACTCTCACACTCCCATTATCTCGTTTCATTTACCTCCTCTCTATGGGGCAGAATTTACCAGCCTTCTCGAAATGGATCGCAAAAAGAACGCTTATCAAGAGGCCAAGAGTCTCAGAGCCCACCGAAACAGATACTGATGATGAGAAGTTGGTTGATTTGACGCGTTGTGATGCAGCGGATGATGAGGCTGCTGTTAGGTGAAGGGGCTTGTCCATAAGTACTGAAAGATACACTCTTCTCGTGCAAGTTGCAAAGGTCGACTGAAAATAAAACCAGCCAATTTCTGAACCCTGCATACAGCGACCTGTCCATCATCTGCGGCGACAAGGTCTTCCCAGCTTATCGAGTCATTGGTCTGTCCTCTGTCAATCTAATTTGAGGCTGCCTGTAAGGGAAAGTTTGAGGTACTATTGTGCTTGTATACAAGCCCAGGAATATTTGAAATAAGCTGACAACATTCTTACCTATAGGGAGACAAAGGAGAAATCGAAATAAACGTCCGGGACGCGACCTTGGTGGCAAAGATGCTGCAATTCGTCTACACAGACGATTATACTTGCGATACTCATCCAGAAACAGTAGAACTGGTGACAGCAACGTATTTATCTCCCACCGCCGACACGAAAGAAGAGACCGCCCCAGTGATTGCTCCTGTCACACTTTCCCGCTCAGATGTACGCCCAAGGCGACTATTTTCAGATCGAGGGTCTAAAAGCTAAGGCGAAGGAACGCTTTGAGAAGACCTTCCTCAACACCGCGAACGAACATTCCTTTGCCGCGACTGTCATCGAAGTGTATGCCTCGACAGCAGAGAACGATCGGGGCCCGAGAGACATTGTCGTCCAGCTGACGAGAAACAATCTTCCACAGCTCAGGACTGGACAAGATCCGATCCTAAGTGCTCACATTTTGCAACTTATTCCTCAATTTATGTTGGATATTTACGTTTCCACTAGGACGAATGTGCTAGGTACCAGAAGTACAGTCCAGCCTGGGCCAAGCAACAATCTTACTTTTGGGACAGTCGAGGATAATTGATTAATTGGTCATGATATGGTCAGCAGGGCTAGGGAACGGTGAAGATTTGGACGTGATAAAACTTGTAGTATAGCCCTTTCCATTTAGAGTGATTCTCTTGAAGATAGTCCACAGTAGTCAAAATGTATCAAGAGGGACGAAACAGAAAAAGTCATTGTTACTGTCGGTAAAGGATCCACATCAAATTGCAGTTGAAAATGCTCACATACTAGTTAGCTAAGACTTTGTCATAAAACTAAGGTTAGTGATAAGCATAACTTGAATTGAAATAGGCAGGTAACCTTATTACCAGTCCATAAAATGTATAAACAGAATACGCTCAGTCGAAAACGGAAACTTATCCTGGCATGCATGTCTCATTGATAATGCTGAAGAAATGCGACCCTTTCCCGTTTAGGGATCTTTTTACCAGACCACAATTTAATGGAGACTTATAGTAATGCTGACACATGGTGGAGAACTATACATGAAGAACTCAGATACACCGACGATATTATAGAGTAACGATTGGGATGAGCTATATAAGGGTAGAATCTCCCTGCTACATTCAAAGGAACATCACAATCAAAGCATTCTATTAATCACTTGCTAGACCATCATCTCACCACCCGCAAGAGTCTCACATAACTATCAAAACTACCTTATCCTCCATCCACAAAATGCATCTCTCACCCTGGGCCATTGCCACTTTCATTACCGCCGCTACGGCGGCCACTCTCAAGGTCAACTACTACTCTGACGGCGGCTGCTCCGACTACATGGCCTCGATCAATCCAAGCCCCGGTTTTTCCTGCTACGACTACGTCTGGACCGGCTCCAACAGCGTGAATATTGCTGACTGCACGTTCCCGAACGGAAAGTGCATCTGCACCTTTTACACCCAGCCGCACTGTAAGGGCGCCGCGCAGACTGTTGTCTACGGTGGGGACAATTGTGCTTCGAACTGGGGCCGCGGATTCTATTCTATGAAGTGCAGCGTCGAGCATGGCCTCTGAGCGGAGCGGGCTTATCATTAAGCCTGAGCCTTGGACTCTGCGGATCTTGGGTCCCAACTTACAAGGTGTTGGTGGTCGCTTGTGGGAGCGAGTTGTCAGGGCACGGGAAAATGAGCGTGGTATTGGTTTTAATTGGCAGGGCGACGGAGGCGAAAAGCTGGACGTGGTATTACCTTTTGTCGTGTTTCCTGGTGTACTGAGCATATGATACATGCTTCCGATAGATATTGGTTAATAGATGCTGTCGGTACAAGTCACGTTCAGGGTGTATGATTGACACCATCTACCTCTAGTCATATTCCTTGGCACGTCTGTCTCAACTGTGCATTTGTCCCCTTGCTCGTCTCCAGCATCTGTTTTAGCTGCGGTCCAGAACTGTAGTACTCTCTCCTCATTCTGCCACCTTATGTAAATGAAAGGACACTATAACAAAAACAGATAGTATTCGAGACCCTTGCTAACATCCATAGTTACATAATCAGCCTGGTAAGAGAACTGCTCGAAGATCCCTAGTTTCAGTGTGGAAGCTAGCCTATGCCACGTCCTCATCTGGCAAATCGTCAGGTTCTGTTCTATTAGAACTATCTTCGTAAACACGAGAACCACTTACAATTCCGTTAGGAACACCATCAGTTCCCACTGACCCAGTGCTAGATAACATCATGCACATACGCAGCAACATGGTCACAGCCAATCTTCTGATCGGCTACCCTCGTACAACCATCAACTCGCGAACCGTCATTACTCCTATATAAGCCAAAGTCATTGGTGCCACAATTCGCAAGGTGGTCTATACTATGTAAGCCCGACATATCTAACAGAGCAAGATTAGACTAACAAGGCACGCTATCAATGAAAAAGTTGCGCTTGCATCGGTTCTGGTAGACGGGGGCAAGCAGGTGGTCATTACGACACGGATCTTTGTCTTCTTTCCAGGCGACGGCGTAGTTCTCGTCCCAGGTTATTTGCTCGCCGGTGCTGAATTTGATGGCGGCTGTGCTGCTGACAGCGACTGCGAGGGAAGTGAGGATTATCTGGGAGACCTTCATGTCACCCGTCATGTCGAACTTATTAGTTCTTTCCCCAGGATCAAATCGGGATTGGAAGAACCGGGTTGGTAGTCCATCAAGGGCTGTTTGCCATCAAGCTACCTCTCAGGTAGAGCACAAGCAGTGAGGAAGAAGTGGAAGCAAATATCGAATCCCTCCAACATGAGCAAGCTATCTACCAACGCTTAGGTAGCTGCGACGGTGTTGTCCCATTCATTGGTTGCTCAGAGTAAGTATGGGCTGGCAGGACGTAGAACAGTTTCTTTCATCAGGCTCAGAATCCTGACTTCAGTTCCTTCGCGACCAATCAGGTAAACAGAGACAGTGAAGGCCCCAGTCAGTTACACTCTTCATTCACTCCCGGTTTAATCAGGCGACAGAGTTCAATAGTCTCACTACAGCATTGCAAGGCTGGCTCCCATGATACTCCAGGGTTCCTTTTAGTATATCTTATCAGCGCTTCGGTCGCTCAGGTCATTTCACATCATATCTTTCTTACTAAATGCCATTATTTACAGGCTGCTGTGAGTCACAGACGAGCCCCATCTAGTTCAAATAGCTTTAAACCACGGGTCACTGAGCAACTCGAACGCATCTTTCCGATGCTCTGGCTCGACCAGCATGGAGTGGCGGAGTATCCTAGCCAATGGCAGAACATCATCACCGAGTCGACCATGTGTGCGCATGTCTAAGTATGCTGCAAACTCAGATATCGCAGCCTCTTGGTCAAGTGCAGGTTTAACAATATCTTCTACCATTTGCTGGTGCTCCTCGTCGATTTGCTTAGTCGATAGTCCGAACGTGCTTAAGCAGAAGAGTGGCTCCCCACAGATGAGCTCGAAGATCTAAACATCGTCAGTATGTTGCTAAGTTCGAAGGATACAAATAGACACCTACTAGACAGGCTAGATTCCAAATCTCTGTTCTAATATCTGAAACGTTAGATCTCCCAGAGATAAGTTCCGGAGCACGCAGTGCTCGAGGGACTCTTGGTAGTCGTGAAGGTGCCTTGTCATGCCATACAGCTTTTAGTGAAGGTTAGTCAGTCGTTTCTGCTATGATTTCTGGAGCTCCACGCACCTCCTCCCAGATCAGTGATTGCTACCAAAACTTTATGCCCAGGTTGGCCACTAATTAATGAACGATCGATTATCGGCTCGGGAATGTAAAGATGTCTTGGGGCACTCTGGTCGCGTTTGACTCCATTCCTCCACTTCACCTTGCAAAGAGTAGTGCTAGGCTGGCTCAATGCATCATCAATATCAGCAGCCGACACTGCAAAAATAATGTTTCCTAGTTGGAGATCTGGAGCCAGTTAAAGAAGGGATCTCTATAAAAGTGCATTTGCTATATAGCTAATCCAGCACTTACCACCATGAACAATGCCGCAGCCATGGAGAAACTGTAGACCTTGAGTGACTTGTTTTGATAGAGATTTAGACACTGGTAATGGGTAACGCCTCTCTGGAAGCAGCCGTGCATGGGCTTGTGCGTCCCCCCCAATAACCGGAAACACAAGGCAAAGGTGAGCCCCGTTTGGACCTTCGTGATTAAATGAGTCAAGAATCTGCACGACATGTTGGCCACCTGGACAATGGAGGGCGTTTGCTCGGATGGCCTCTAAGATGCTCAGCTCTGTGGGCCCCTCTAGAATGGAAGCTTCGGCCTTGAGAATCTTCACAGCGACGTAAGAAGAATTTCTAGGAATTATATTAATTTGTGGGCCCTTTGGGACATCTCCTGGGGGCCTTACTCGAGATCCCTTGCGAGCCAAACGGTAGAGAATTGACCGTAAGCAAGCTTCCGGATGACTTTATACCGGCTATGGAGAATATCTCTAAGAAGCACCGGGTGGTAACCTCCAAGTCTGTATTCTTCCACTGGTTCTACATCATCATAGATGCGCTCAAATCGTCGTTGGCGGGCCATAGTCAAGGACAAATTCTCAGGATGGAAAGTATCAGGAAGTTCGAAGTTCAAAAATCGTGGTCGGTCCCTTTTCTGAGAAACTCAACCAATAAGCATTTATGCGACCCTCCCTGCCACATTCCGACCGATCTTTGCCAACTTATCTTCCTCGCCTCTTCACGCCACATATATTCTAGTCGAAGACCAGCGTCACAGCACTCCGTACCGCCCTATTGTTATGTCTGCAAATCGCCGTCGGGGTGATGACCCACTCAGTAAGCCCATGGGAGCCCATCTTATTCTTGTGGCTCATTCTGTATCATGCATTTTGCTGCACTCTTCTACCTCAAAAAGGTCTATTTTTAGCGTTCTCGGTGACTGATCTTCTCTGAGATCGACCGGAAGCCGCCCTCCTAGGTATAGGTCCTGCAATCTGTAGGACCAATTCTCGCCCAGCAGCGACGCAAACCGATGACGACCTCCTAACTTGAATAGTGAAAGTCAAAGGATCGCGTCGATCACTATCTACCGTCGAAATCCGTGGAAACACTGTGAGTAGGTTGTCATCTGGGGTGGTGTCAACCCGTCGATTCTCGCTACCATCGGCTCCTGGAAATGGAAATTCGACCCACTCCAGATCTTCCCATTCCAGGGGTTCGAAATCTGTTTCGTATTTCTATCTGGGGCAGTCAGCTTCCTATATAGGGCCAGCGGGAGCATATGTTGTGTTCTCGTCAACAAAACTTCATCTTTCTGTCTACCTCCAAGGCTCAGGATCTATGCAGTGCAACCATCACTATTACAGAAGCCTCTGGCTCAACACGTATTGGAATGGATCCATCTAGTGCCAGCTGATAGCAACAACGCAGAGAGCAACATGGGAGGCGTTTCGCGAGACAGTGTTACGCGCCGCCAAGAGGCGTCATCCAATCAGTAGGCAGAGACATCTCGCGCGGCTGTGTTGAGATGTGCTGTTGGCTTGTGATTTGAAACTTGGATATGAGTCTCTGCTGGCGCTGAGGAGGCGGTGCATTAAGTATGTCGATAACCCCCGCTTGCTACCTTCACTCGACAGCACCACATCTGGGGGTAGACTCTCTTCCACCATTGCGTCAAGCAGGACCCTGACGAGTATTCTGAATACGGAAATGTCCCAAGTTGGCTTTACCTTCCAGGGGGACGTCTTCACAGGCGGCAGCCTTGTCATGAACACCACCGGTCGTTTACTGAAGGCCCTTTCAGATGGCAACGTCGATGTTCTGGCGGTGGCTGCATCGTTGCAGCTTGGAAAGTCCATTCCAATCACTCGTACTCAAGAAACGATCGTTGCGCGCTCGATGCAGAAACGCAGTGTTACTCGGTCGGGAATCTTCGCCAAAGCCTTGAGCGTTGGATGGGGTCATGCTGATGTTGCATACGAGCTATCCAAGACTCGAGCTGGGTGTGCCACCCTCTTACTCCTGAATGCTCTCTCGGCGGGCGTATCCACTTTTAAAGCCAGTGAAGGACTCCAGGAACTATTAGTCTACTATGGGTGCACAACTGACACTTTGCCAACCGTGGATTCGTTGAACACGGTCGTGAAATACGTGGCACCCATTATGATAGATAGTGGGTTCCATGCAATCATGGAAAATATACATATCGCGATTACTGTCGAGATGAAGAAAACATTCAGTCTGCAGGAGTTTCAAAAATGGCAACCAGAGATCATGCAGGATTCAGTGGGTATGAAGGAATGGGTAGATTCTGTTCGTCAATTATGCTGGTCTGCCAGTCGCAATGAATCTCTCCATATTCGGATCAATGGTCGAGTTGCCTGGCTAGCAACATTTGCTGTTCAGATACTGGGCATGGGCTGCACAGTCATCTGCGGTGCTACGGCCTTATGGGAGACCGCTGGTAGGAGTGGAAAATTGGTCGTTCATTTTGGGCCATCTGACATATCGTCAAACACGGAGTCGTTGGCAAGTGCTCTTCGTTTCTCCCTTGAACCGAGGGATGATGCGGGGAAATTGCAAAGAAGCATCCAAGGAAGATATCTACTGAAGGATGCAATCCGCCCTGAGATCGAAAAGTCTGCCAAAGTTACACCATCATTTTACCCCACATTCTGCCTTTGCTTTGTGAGATATTTTGCGCGCGTGTTTGTATGCGCTTCCGAGCGCCACCAATTTCTCTCAATCGTCAGTGAAGATCAACGGCCCAAGGCAATTGCGAGGGTCTTGGGATACCTTGGTGTCAAGTTGACTACACAATTAGAGGCCGCAATGCTAGAGTCACTGTCATCGAGCAAAGCACAAGAGGATTTGCGCGATTTTCAATGCTTCAATGACCTCCTTGGAGATGTCAAACACTTCGCAGCGGATTTAATGGAGGCCGTGATCATGCTCGCCATGTCGCTCATTTCCTGTCACATCTCAGTCGACGATTTCAGCGTGCCTACTCTGCAATTAGACCGGATTGACGAAATCCACAAGGAAGGCCGGGACGGTGGTCGGAGGCGTCTACGTTTCTCAAACAATCCTTGGCCAAATATAAGTCTGCCGCAGATTTGGGCAACTCTCTGTGATCTTTGCTTTTTCGGTGAATACCCTAGAAGGAAGCATGATTCGCGGAGCGTCGCCAAATCCGCCGACGGCATTACCCTATCCATCCGAATGTTGTTTGAAGATGAAGCATTCACTCGCGACGGTCAGATATTCGCTATTTATCCCGGTCAGTTAGCATACTCCGAAATCCAGCGACAGGACGCTGTTTTTCCCCATAAGCAGCCTGATTGTCTCTCACTTAACTGGGACGAATGGGCGTTGGCCCCGGGCATTACTTTCAGACATCCACACACCCCGGCCTCTAGAATCGTCGACATTAGAACAACCGTTGCGGTCAGAGATGCATTGGAAATCTCCACAGTCATCACCTTAGAAGACCAAGACTCGCGGCGTAACTATGTCTTCGACGCTCTCAGTGCTCTACTTATACTCACGAGAAACGGTGCATTAGCTGATCCTTGCCCGCATCCCACAAAGGACTCCTTTCCAGTTCCAGTCAGACCTGAGTCTGCTGACGGCCCCCTCAGGCCGGTTTCGCCGTCTTCCGATCTTAATGGCTGGCCTTTCTTGTTCTCAGCGGCTATTCTCGCTACGAGAAAGACAGACTCCGACTGTATATTTCTATGTCTTCCGGGGAAAAGCCAATTTCACCAACTGCTATCAATAGCGCTGAACAATGATAGGCATCATAGACTGCGACCGACATTTGTGCTTCAGGAAGATGCATGCTTGTCATGTACTGTTTGTCTCGGGCGTAATATAGTGAAAGCAGACGAAAAGCTTCTGAAAAACCCCCTATTGATTATTATCTGCAACCCTGCTGCGTCAAGTACTCCACAGGATTTGGTAACAGCATCTTAGCACCAGATTTCTTCTTCATTATCTATTGTTGGGAGTAACGGTATGCTGTTGGGTTGCAGTTGGCGAGGAATCGGGTAAAACGCTGGTTGTGGGAGGTTAGAGGTACTCTAGCTAGAAGGGGGAGGAGGAAGCTTCAATTTCGCTTTTATGTACATATATATACTTTTCGGTACGAGGATCTGGTCGAGCTCACACGTGCTGAAGATCCATGCGTCAACAAGTCTACTGTCACGTGTAGTCAAAATCAATGATTGAATTACACGTGTTATGTTAGTGACCATTTGAGATGAATGTCTGGAGAATATGCTTCAAGACTTTAGTCTATGACTTATAAAGGACAAAGATGACATACAGGCAGCGGCCATCCTTGAATTTTGAACCTAAAGAAGTGGGGGATGATTCCGAATCATCACCGGCAATATTCGTTCTATCTCGTCAGGACAGTATTGCTCTTCTGTTGGAGTGATGTGAATAGCCTTTGCATATTAGAAGGTTGCATTCTCCACCTAAAATGCAAATAAATGCTGCTGCCTACTGATCCTCATGATTTCTCCAGGTACCACTAATTGACTGGACACTAGTTCTTGGGTCAGAGATAGTAGTGTAGACTTCCTGTTCCCCTTACCTGATGGAGTTTTGGATTTGAAAGGCTGCCTGTCTTTTTTGATATTTATATGAGCTGGAAGTGGGCTGTTTATATTAGGAGACCTGGCTCTGGAAGTGCTTCAGCTCCCTGTAATAAGCTACCTGGAGTGTGTCTTTCTGTCTGCTAGGAAATCTAGTACTAATTTGGTTTCATGTATGTCCCTTATCTCTGAGTTATATGAGATATAGTTTCTGTTTAGAAGAAAGTGGGTGGGTTTAAATATTTTTATCTACTTATCTGGTGTATGAAAGTACTGCGATAAGTTTAACTTACAGAATTTGCCCTAGAATAAACTGCATATAGCCTGTCTAGGATATTTAAGGCACTAATGTGTAGCGCGGAAAGACCATGCTTTTGTATCTACAGACCACGCACAACCAAGTGCTGCCCGTCTTTCTGTCGTAATCACGCAGGGTTCGTCCAATTTTACATGTAAGTCCGTCTATTATCATCTCTCCATAACCCTTCACCCGTCTAACGATGCAGGGGCTGGGGTGCCCTTGGGGATCCTCTCCGCCTGGGAGCCGCTAGGCGGAATCTTCTGTGCCAATCTGCCTATAATCTATCGCGCAGGAGTGACCATGCTTTGGAACCTCAAATGGTTTGCGCCTGGACAGCCTTCTTGTACGGGCAACTCGAATTCCCAGCCCTATCGGGGCGCAGAGCAATCCCATCGACCTTGGGCCCGCATCTACAACAGGAGCGGCGCGCAGATGGACTACCACTCAGAAGCCTCTGCCACCAAAGCGCGCGATCAGGTCACAGAGTTACAGTCAATAAGTCGCAATGCCATTCAAGTGGACCAGTATTTCGAGCAGCAGGTTCATCATGAAGGCGAAGAGACCCCGTTGCGTCCGATGCCAAAAGGAAGCTCATAGCGAGTGTATTATGAGATATTTCAGAGAAAATAAAAGGACATGAAGTTATAGTAGCCATGCCACTTTGCAACCAGACACACATATAAAGCAAGGATAGCGGTCGGCGTCCAGAGACCAAATCCCTTAACCTCATCCTGGGATATTATGCCCGAGCTTTGCATCGGCGCGCTTGCGTTGAGTAATCAAATCACGGTCGAAAGTCAGATCAGAATTTGCTAGTCAACCATCATGAGGATGAGTTAGCTTAAAGACCTCCAAGGCTGGAAGAGGATGACCCTCTATGGTGTGGTCAGTTGAACCCGTGGCCAGGGTTGATCCATCAGAAGAGAAGGCCACTGAGTTAACCTCGTCTGATCTGAGTGGCCCGTGAGTGTCGTCAGATTGGGCCTCCATGTGGCTTCCACTTGTAGGAATGGACATATCCATTTTGGAATGATATTGCTGTACATCTTTCGAAAACCACTTTGTTCAGATGAAAATACCAATCCAGAAAAGTAAAGTTGCAGTGGAGCAGCACTAGTTATAGAGATGTCCATGAGGATAAATCTCTTTGCATCTGATACAATTTCTGGGATTTCAGTATTTGTATTATTCTGAAAGTGTTAATAGCAGTGATTATCTAAAGGGTATACAGACTTACCACCACCAGTGCCTGGAGCATATCTATCATTCCCACAGCTTCAGGTAGGATACCCATAAGGCTTAGTGCCTTTCACCAATGAAGAGAGTGTGTTCTTAAAAACGGAATGATTGGGAACGCAGAGATGTTACATCTGCTCTTGGAATATCTAGTGAGTCATTTTTGTCTATATACCATGTCATCACCAGGCATAAGCCCTCATTACCAGAAGTAAGCCCTTATCATAGCTGTGCTATACTTATATTAATTATTATTCTTTATTAAAGCAGCATCACCCCATATCACTAGTAAGGGTACCTACTAGGGTATTAATCATGTTTAAGCCACGCATTAGCTAGTAAGTAATTAGGTGGGTGACCACCAGCAAATCCAAGCGCTTATATGTTTTTTGCTCACCCGATCTCTTTTTTTTTAGTATGTTGATACGGAGGGGTTAACCTGGGACTGTATTATGGATTCTATTAGCCAATATCCCCGCTGCAAGCCTGCAGCTAATCAGCTAAGGGATTAGCGAGGCACATGCTACCTGGTCTATCTGGTGAGCAGCCCAAAGAACATTTTGATATTTCATCTATGGGCAAATACAACCAAAGCCCGCAAAGATCTCAGCATGACCTGTCACGGAGAAGCCCGAGCAACTAGCTGTTGACAACCCTCGGCGCCGCAACCGCCGCATCAATTCCTGCCTCGCATGTCGCCAGCGCAAGCTGAAATGCAACCGTCAACAGCCCTGTTCTAACTGCGCCCGAGCCGGCCGGGAATGCGCTTTCTTGCGGCTGGACTCGCAGTATAGCGTCCACAAAAAACTCGCTGTATTCAAAGAACAGACGGCATTGCTGGAGAAGTGCCTTGAGCGAGATACGGAAATCGCCAAATCTACCAAACTGGGGCCGGCATCGCCAGAGGAAGACGAGGATGATATGCTCGTCACCTCACTTGAATTAGCTTTGTTGGGGATTCAGGATGCAGCATACGATCATGAGGAAGATGATGACTCGGATGACGATCTATATGACTTGGGATTCCGATTTGGTAAAATGCGCGTAAACGAGCGGGTGGGAGGGTTTTTCCACCCGCAGATGGCAGATGAGGTAGGCATCCACACCATCTACGCCACTTGGCTGCTTTCTTTGACGGTCCTTCTGATATGCTCGAATTTGTTTCCTCAGCTGTCCGCCTTTCTAGATGAAACAGGAAACCCAACTGCACTGCGCACTCCGCGCCGGTATCATCTCAGTGCTGCCGAGAAAGATCTCTATTTTGGCCCTGGTCCCTGCTTCATTCTGCCTCAGTCAGGTCTCGTTCTTCAGTCAACCTTGTTCGAATTCATTCATAATTGATTGGGGTTCACGGCGAACTATGGCGGACGCCCTCCTAAAGCAATACTGGGAGGCGGTGCATCCCATCGTTCGCATTGCGCATCGACCTGGCCTTGAGCGGCGCTACAGGACATTCTGGGAAGCACTTGATACGGGACGGAGACCGCTTGCATCATTGCGAGCACTGATTTGCTCCATGCTCTTCATCGCATTGGTGAGCATGTCAACATCCCGGGTCTTGCATCAGTTTGGCACTCCGCAGCAGATCCTTCAGAATCAACTGCAATGCGAAACAGAAGATGCCCTCAAGAATGCGCGATTACTCTCGACAACCAGACTGGAGACGCTCCAGGCTTTTGTTCTATATCTGGTATGGCCCCTGTTTTAGCTTGTGCCCTATACAAGCGAATTCGTTGCTGAAAGGTGCAGATTCCCATGTGCCGCAGCGAGATTTCCCGGGCGCACTCGGCCCTTGTGGGAATGGCAGTGCGCCTGGCGGAATCCCTGGGCCTACACCGAGATCCGAAGGAGTCGCAATACTCGGCAGTTGAAAGCCACGTCCGTCGGTTGGTATGGTACCAGATTTGTTTCCTTGACCTCCGAACGGCCGAAGTGCAAGGTCCACGGGTGGCCATCCGGCCGGAAGACTTTTCGGTGGAGTTACCCGTCAATCTGGATGATGAGCAGATAGCAGCCGGGGCGGACGGTGATCCACTGGTGTGGACAGAGATGACGTATACACGCATTCGGTTCGAGTGTCAGGAAATGCAGCGGAAGTGCCTTCTAGCGCGACTGCAGTTGGAGCAGAAAAAGCTGCCCCTGTCCCAGGCCCTGCGAGAGATCGAAATCTTCCGGCAACACATGGAGTCCCAATACGACCCCATCTTTAGCCAGACCAATTTAACACCGTTACAGATAGCGGCTAAGCATCTGATGACTCTCTTGATCAACCGACTCTACACGGCTGTTCTCCACCAGTTCTACCGCGCCCTGAACGTACAGCCCCCGCTCCGGCTGCGGCAGCTGGTCGTGAGCACGGGAATAGAACAATTGGAAAGCTCCATAGCGTTGGAAACCATGCCTCAGCTGCAGTTGTGGGCCTGGTACAGCCAGGCCTACCACCAGTACCACGTCTCGATGTTGCTATTACTAGAGGTGTATTTGCGGCCCACCAGTCCAGGGGCAGACCGAATCTGGCCGTGTCTGGATTACGTTTACGAGACCACAACCGTGGCGGCTTTGGAGGAGGACCGCAATCTGACCAGTCAGAATCGCAAAGCTCGGATTATTCTGACAGCGCTGCGGGATCGCATTGATGTCTATCGGCGTATGAGACGCGCTCGCGTGCCGGTCCAGAGCAATAGGCCGTTTTCGTCTTTCAGAATCAGACCACCAGAAAGCACAAGTCTCGAGGACCACCTGCAAGAAAGTGGACCGATGACCGATATGGTCGGCAATTCCCTGTTCCATGGCGGGATGGAGCAGACAGGCCTCACTGGGTATGTTGCATCTGGATGTGAACCATGGCTGCTTCCACTAGAGCACTCCAGTAAATCTTTGACCAATATCGATCTACCCGAGCATAGTATACTATCGTCTTTTGTGGATTTTGACTGGGTAAGTTTCCTATACTTTACATTTCAGGACTCGCTAACGGCAAACAGTCAGAGTGGGACACACTTCATCATAATGCCATGGATAGTACATTCTAAAACCTACAACTTGCTGGGCATCATAGCGACCCCCTGAATTAATGAAGTCTATTTCGACGCAGGCTAGAAGCTGATCCAAGCTTGAACTGGAACAACTCCCTATGCGGTTTCTGTTGAACATGTATTGCACTACTATTTCTACTATGGTGGAATGTTCGTCCAGACGCTTTTTGGTTAATTTGCTTTATAGTAATATTGATGTGCATGAACAGGGGCAAGTCCACACGCCGAGTCACATGACTGATCGAACCTATGGAAGCTATGGATGCTTGTTGTATTGGGCTGTACCTCTCTATCTAGGGAACTAGCTTAATGATTGATGATCAAGTGAGATTGCACCCTGAGGCAGGCGACATGGAGAGAACTGGTGTACTTCGGTGGGTGTCGGATAGGCGGGCTTGAGCACTTTGCGGACCCTGCGGCCCTTGCTCAAAAAAGATTCATCTTTGGTTCTTGACGCCAGGTTAGGAGATAGCAAAGGTGGGTCTGGATACTTAGTAGATGGTGAGGGCCATACTGAAGGTCCGAACTCTGTGCTCGAAGTGACAGGAGCAAACACGGAAGGGCGTTAATCCATAATCTGATACCCTACGGATAACCTGTGTAAACAGTGTCCAAGCTGCTCAGCCGCAGATAAAAGGCCTCATTCCACCCTGCAATCTAGGGTTAGAGTGGATAATTGCGTTCGTTGGTGTCGGATTATCCCGCTCCCTTACGGCCGTAACCATGAACCTACATGTTGTCAGCCCACTAATTACGCCGCGGCCCCATCCTTACGGCCGTATGAGCTTGAAGTTCGAATTTTGCCTACCTCCTCCGTAGGGTTCAATATTCCATACGGCCGTTTGCCTGGGCTTCTCACTGTCTGAACATGGGACGATTCCGAGAACGATCTAGGGACGGGCAACGTCTCTGTTAACGTTACGGCCGATATGGCAGATAATCCTCACTCTTGATGAACTCGTGGTAGGGATGGATACGCTCCTTTCACTAATAGGAATGGACACATGTGTAAATAAATATCTCCCAATCCACAACCATAACATCGTGCTTCTCTGGTGAATTTGATCCAATGCTATCGCCGCTCCAATACAAAAGCATGAGCCAGGAAACGACGAATGATGGGGAGGAAATGACGCCAGTGTTGCATCAAAAGAAAGTCTCGGAGATAGATGACTCTCACAGTGTGAGTCCTCGCCTGGATGGAGGACTTCAGGCTTGGAGTGTGGTGGCCGGATCATTCCTGTGTCTTTGTCAGTTTTGGCTGGGTGAATTGTAAGACATAGGCTACGGTCAAGAGGTATTTCGAAAAATGCTAACTGGATATAGGCATCGGGCTATTTCAGACATATTACGAGACCCACCAGCTGAAGGGGTATTCCGCCAGCACAATTGCATGGATCACGTCTTTCGAGGTCTTTATCATGTTCCTAGGGGTTTGTACACCGTATTCCTTCCCAAGTTCCATGTTCGAGGCTGAGCGGTACAGGGCCCCATCCTAGGTAAAATCTGCGACGTGCATGGCCCCCGGTACCCGCTGCTCATCGGGACGTTCATGCACGTGTTCGGACTCATGATGACCTCGCTCTGCAAGGAATATTACCAGTTCCTGTTGGCGCAGGGGATCTGTAGCAGTATCGGGGCCAGTTGTATTTTTTACGCCGGTTCGTCCATCCCTTTGCGGATTAGAATTGACAGCACACGCTAATGTAGACAGCCCTCGGAGCCTCAAGCACATGGTTCAGTCGAAAGGCCGGACTGGCCATCGGCATCGTCGCCAGCGGGTCCAGTTTAGGCGGCGTCGTCTTTCCTATCATGATCAACAAGCTCCTGTCAGAGATTGGCTTTGCGTGGACTATGCGCACCTCCGCGTTCATCATCCTTGGCCTTCTGGCCGTTGCCAATGTCACCGTCCGGACTCGTCTGCCGCCTAACCCCAAGCCAGGCAGCCCAAAGGACCTTCTGATGCCGTTCACGGAGCCCCTGTTCTGTCTCACTGCCATGGGGGCATTCCTGTTTTCGTTCGGTCTCTTCCCGCCCATCAATTATGTCATTTCCGAAGCAGTCTACCGGGGAATGGGCTACGATCTAGCATTGTACATGCTGCCCATCCTCAACGGCGCAAGGTATGTGCCATCTCCATCATCCAATGCTAGAACTATTCTTGAAAATTACATAGGCTGACTGCAAGACAGTTTATTCGGCCGGATTATTCCCGGCGCGCTAGGCGACAAAGTGGGCCGCTATAACTGCATGGTCATCATGACCGGGCTGACAGCCGTGGTGGTCCTGGCCATCTGGATCCCCGTCACCACCAACGCCGGCATCATCCTCTTCGCTGCGGCCTTTGGGCTGACATCTGGCGCCTTCATCTCCCTGGCTCCGGCTCTGATCACGCAGATCTCCGATGTATCCAAGGTTGGAGTGCGGATCGGCGCCATGTACGCAGTGACCTCTGTCGCCAATCTCACTAGTAATCCTATCGGTGGGGGACTGATCTCCGCCTGGGACGGGAGGTACACGGGACTGATGGTGTTTTGTGGTGTAATGGAAGCAGCTGGAATGTTGTTCTTCCTTGCTGCGCGAATTTACCAGACGGGATTTCGGGTGGCCGTTGTGGTGTGATGGAGGCAAATGATGAGCGTAATTTGTGGAAGAGATTAGGTTCTATTTTATACCGTGGTCCGCTGTGTATATCATTTCGACTCTAGGCCCAAGTCTACCACCATCTTGTTCTTCCCCTTACTACCTTGCATGTGAAGTCGAACAGTTGGGCTTTTGCATCAGGGGAGTGTACATATACCTTGGACATAAGATGGAAATAAAACCTTTCATCTTGACGGCGGGTGCTGCATTTTGACATGGTCTTGAGCCCTCGAGAGTAGTATTGCCATTTCTCCATGTGATCTAGGGTATGCCAATTGTTGGCTTTGGAAGTTGCCGCTCAGTCACAGGTTGAGTGTAAGTGAATTGGGCGAAGTTGTCCAGAGGCTACTGCCGCACAATTTTCTAGCATTAACCTTGAGATTTTCCTACAAGTTCATGCAATTGGAGTCACTGTTTTGTCTGCTTGAGGAGTCCAATCCTGTTTCACCCCATACTAAGGACATTCTCGGGCCCGAAACCGGGGTCATTAGGGAAACAGAAAATCACTTCCATGGTAACTTAGCAGCTTTACGGAGGAGGACCACCCCTAGACAACTAGATGGAAGGACGTTCAATACAGCACTGCTTTCTACTATTAAGGTGAGGGTGTATGACAGGTGAGGATGTAAGCCCTGTGGCCCGATACATGTAATAGAGTGAGTCCCAAAACCCGCCTACTCCATGGAGTAAAAAAAAATTCTTTTCAGCTCATGTCGGACTCTTACAAATCGACCAAGTTCGCAGCGTTTATGAAATGTCCCCAAAAGTCCTTTTTCGTCGAGTGGTGCTTCCAACGCTAGCGCGACTCGCCCCTGTGTGAGGACACAAGTTGCTTTAAATGGTGTTGAAATTGGCAGAAATGACCAAGGGCCTGCGAAGGAGTTTGACGGTGAGAACTGTTGACATTCGTGCCGCTGCAAAATAATAGAGAATTCCTTATTGCTGAGCTGCCAGCAGAAAGATACTCTTCAGATTGACCCCTTTCGTGGTCCATTCTGCACATCTTGACGATACTGGACAACATTTATACCTATACCCTCAGCCAACAGCACTAGAAAACCGATTCTTCGCCCCATCCTCCTCCATATCCCAAATATATTCAATCTTGCGCGCTATCACGTCGAATCCGTTGACTTTCCTTGCTTTTCCTGCGTCCTACCGTGTTAAGCCATGACGGTAGGATCAGAGAGTGCTAGACACGGTGTTGTTTTGGAATCAATGTGGATAATCGAGTAAGACCCACAAGTGTAACAGTCAACCGGATCTATGACCACTTGCGTGGCTTCAGATAGACTATTCGGCGTTTGAAATGACTATAATAGTTTTTGTATTTCTGTCTTGTCGCTGCGACGTATAACCCTTTTAACGACATAACGATCCGAATTTAAACGTATATTTGAGCTGAGGAACACGATTTCGCCATCTGACAGCCAAGGATTCTGTGATACTTGAATAGAAGAAGGTTTAGATTAGAGCCTTGCAGGCATTTACGGCAAGCCACTGGAACAAACCGAAATAATATATTTGTGATTTCAAAGTATGTACTCCGTACTGCTGGATTTGCCCGGTAATCATGCCTTGGCGCAGCAACCGTTCTAATCCGCCATTCCTACCCTACTTCCTCTTGCCTCAGGTAGATTGAAGGCTTCTCGCTCTATTTAATGTGGAGAAAGATCCCGCTGTCTTCGATCCTATCTTTGGGAATAGCTCTCTAGAGTTCCTATAGCAGGCTGTTGTTATTACTGCGGGGAGCCTTACCTGGATACGTTTGGCGCTTCAATTCTGAATCTGGACAAGCTTAGCTTCAATTAACTGCGGGTATTATGTTCTCATTCTGACAATAATGGCAAAGTAGAAAAACGCAGAGATGTGTTGAGAGAGACAATGTGAGAGATGGATGCGGATACTTGTCCTTATATTAGCCCCGGACGCAGAATAAGGTTGGGTGGACCATTCTGGCCAGACTCCGTTCGCAGGGGCCACGTGATAGACAGTCCTTGCCACATTTTTGGGTCTTTTTGGTGCAAAACAGGGTGAGGATTAGTTGGACTGACCCCGGCTGGCTATCAACGGCATTGCTGACCAATAATAGGTGCTCTCTTATAGTTCCCCCCATAACAGGGAATACGAAGCGCACTGTATCCACTTCCCCATCTCTTCATGAAGGAGACCAGGAAGGATCATCTTGCTCACCCGTTGAAGTCGGTGGATGTCTCTGGAATGTTACGCCGACGGCCACTTATCACTAGCTCTATCTGAGAAGGATCACAAAATGATGATAGATCCCTTGCATTGTTGTCTGAATCTCTTGTTTAAACCGATACATCAAACCGCCATCCCTCGACGGATCCACTCGGTGAGAATCATTTCCCAAGTGGGTGTTTTTTCCCCGAAGTCATAACCCAATTCGGCAAAGGTTGAGATGATCACAACGGCAGAGAAACTATGCAAGTCATTGCCCCTGAAGCCAGCAAGATCTTCGCTCAGAGGGACATCTTTGCCGACTACTCCGTATTAGATCGTGCAAAGATGTCAGTTTTTGTCCCGGGTGACGATGGCATCGCGATTTCCTTCTTCTGCATCTACCTACCTCCCCACCCACCTGCCCCTCCCCCAGGCCCTTGATCTTCACTTCTACACTATCTACCTCCATGTCCTGCACCGCGGTTCTTGATGATGGCAGACGCATCAGGCGCTGACCGCGGCTGGATTCTCCACGCGGTCTCGTGGCCGCTGTTCGGAATCTGCGTTCTTATCACCGCTACCAGATTCTGGGTACGTGCGCGCATCCTTCGGAGCTGCGGCTGGGACGATGCATTCATCCTGCTTGCATTGATCTGTGCCGCTGTCAATACTGTACTGGTAACTCTGAGTATCATGCATGGCACTGGGCGTCACATGCGTGATCTATCACACGAGCAACAGATCGCTTCAGTAAAGTACCAGCTGCTTTCCCAGGGGTTTCATGTCATGTCAACAAATTGGGGGAAGGTGTCGGTGGCCTTATTTCTGGTTCGCATTATTTCGGAGGTGAAGCAACATAAGCGAGCCATGTATGCGGGGATGATCTTGCTGTCCATTATTAATATCGGTGGTGTCTACACCATCTACGGACAGTGCACACCCACTGCAAAAGCTTGGGATAATGACATCAAAGGCACCTGCTGGCCAGCGGGAGCACAGAGAGATTATGCTTTTTTTCAGGGCTGTACGTATGGCTGGACGGACTTTTTACCACGTTGCTAACCGGAGACCTGCAGCTGCCTCTGCATTCAGCGACTTGGTTCTGGCGGTATATCCGCTCCTTACCATCAAGGATTTGCAGATGGCCACCAAGGTTAAATTTGGGCTCGGCTTCGTGCTCTCGCTGGGTATCATGTTAGTCATAATTCCCGCCTCAATTCCTGGATGCTGTGCTCTAACGTCATATCGCATAGCGCAATGGTGGCTGCTATTATCAAGACCGTCCACTTGGCGGCACTGTCGGCCAGAACTGATTATACGTGGGATACGCTTACTCTGACGGTCTGGGTTGCAGTCGAACAATATCTCATTATTATAGCCGCTTGCATTCCTGCACTCACGCCTCTTTTCAATATCATTGTGCGTCGAGTAACCAGCAGGCGGTCCAAATCCAAATCAACTCCCAACGAGCTGGGAGCAAGCGACCGCAAGTTGAGTCGCCCTCAACCCTACCTGCCTTTTGCAAGCGTAGGGCGAGAATACGTCGAATATCCCATGACCTGCGTCGGGTCAGCGAAAGATTCGAAGCGCCGTAGCAGTGACAGCGAGGCGCTCATTACAATCGAGCCTAATTCACCGACCGGGATCCTCAAAACAACCGAGTTTCATATCCAGGGGTTGGTACGATACGACGGACTGTGACGATTCTCATGTATTTCAGATTATGTCGAACTATTTCACACAATGTTAGAATATTCAGGATTACGTCCAATCACCTATCTATCCAGTTACCAGTGCAGGGAGGGATGTATAACTATCCACGGGACAAAGGCGGAAGACCGGAGGTATAGACCGTGGTTCACTCGAAGCTTGTTTAACTCTCGAACTTTGGGTCTGGTTTTGTGGTGTATGAAGGCACGATCCACGGTTGGCATGGAGTTCCCGTGGTGGATATTCTGTAAGTCTATTGGTTTATGTTATGTTGCCTTGTATTGTAGTAGAAGTGTGTTATGACCGAGAATGCTCGCAATGTTAATATTGGCGTAGTTGCAAGTTCCCAGTATATATCATAGATTCAAGCAACTAGCCTTAGCCTGAGAAAGATTCATTGTCTTTAGAGGAAATGCATAATAGATGAAATAAGATAAAAGAAGACCAACTGTTCGTCTATATCGAATTGAAAAGATTTGTACAGTGCGAAGAAGTAGGCAAGCAGTTAACCACAATTGTATAGCCCAAGTCGAGAGAAATCAAAGAGAGGCAAAACTGCCAGTATGTTCACTGTATCCCATGCAATCGTTGCAAGAGCTCTTACCAGAATCTGTATAATCATTAGCTTAATCCACCGTACCGAAGAAACTGACATACCTCATGACATAAGGGCAGATAGAAATTCCACCATAAGAGGTCCAGATAGCCTGTTCCCTAACAGGAGTACCCGTCTTCGCAGCATTGATCATCCATCCGTCCCGCATGAAGATACCAACGTGGACAACCTTGTTCTTGCAGTCACCACCAGTAGCCCAGAAGAGCAAATCACCCTCCTTAGCCTGTGCGCGAGGAATCCGTTTGCCCATGTTCGAGTTGTACTGCGTCTGCGCCGTGCGGGGGATGGTCTTCTTCAGCGCCTGGCAGACGGCGTACTGGGTCAAGCCGGAGCAGTCGAAGCCGCCGCCAGAGGGACCCTTGCAGCCACCGCCGCCCCAGACGTAGGGGAGCCCCTTCTTCTTCTCGGCTGCGTCGACGATGGCCTTGCCGGATCCGCTGCCGGAGCCGCTGTCGCCGCCGCTGTCTCCACCGCTACCGCCATCGCAGTGCTTGGTGACGTAGTCGGAGCTACCGGTCTTGACGTAGTAATCGGCGACATAGCAGCCGTCGGAGGTCTTGTCCCAGAGCTTGTCGCCTTTGACATCGGTGCCGGGGGCTTGGCAGACGATGGAGACGTCGTGGCCCTTGGGGTAGGACTTGACGACGGGGTGGTTGGTGCCGGGACCGGAGCGGCAGTTGACGCCGTCGCCGGTGATGGGGTAGGCGCTGACTGAGGGAATGATGGCTGCAAGGCATGCAGCGACGATGGAGAGGTACTTCATCTTGTGAGAGAAAGAGATCCGTGTTTGGAGATGTGTGTTTGGTTTGAGGTTGTTGAAGAGGAATGTGATATGGGCAGATCGTCCATTTATAGACATCCAGCTATTGTTGCCGCTACTTCCTCAATCACTGAAACCTCAAGGTCTGTTGATCGAAGAGCACATCTCGTATTCCCACTGATTCCAAACATGTCACTCGTGTTTCCTCAATTCAGGGTCCAGGAATGGGGCCGAATGTCGTATCCGAGGCCAAGTTTAGAAGTGTTACGGAGTTACATCGACTAAGATTCTGCAAGTGCCCGGCTCGTAATGCTCGTGTTCCTGGCATCGCAGAAGTAGGAAGCCATTAGGAGTTAAGCAGCAGGGCATGCTCTAAAATGTATCTAAAAATAGTATCCAAGAGGACACAAGCTCTGAAGCTTAACTCGTCAGGGCTATTGTTCTCATTCTTCTCGTGTTGCAGATTAGTCTGCAGATCACCAGAGCGAATCATGACTGAATACGAGATCAGACCATCACAATACCCCAGGGGTATGCTCCATTAGTGTGATTTAATCTGGCCTAATAAACTAGTTTGATCCGTGTTTGTTTGAACCCTGTTGTGTGGAGGTCATCATGTTGCGTTGATCCCTTTTGAGAGTCATTCAGCGAGACTATTGTGCGCGATTCAGGACGATGCCCTAGATAAACTAAGTCAAGCAATGCGCGAAGCATTTCTGATTCCTTGACTGGAATTTGAAGTTCTTGGTCTCTGTCGAACTGGTTCTCGACTCTTTCCTGGATGCAATGCAACCTCGAAATAGAAAGCCTTGCTCGTATTTTGATGAAGTGGCTCCCTGCGCCTGCGAGTCTCCATTTCATTGAATCAGCAACTCCTAATCGGTAGTATTGGTTAAGTAAATCTCCGAGACGATGTGACACTTGGATCCATTGCAAGCGAGATCTTCCTTTCATGATCCTGGGACTCTCTGGCTAGTTAGATTGCCCCGAATGCCTCGCCAAGTCCATGGTACTCAAGTTATTCTCATATCTTCATGAAGAACCACAGCAGCCGCATTCCTGGAACGTGAAACTGGTAATGCTGATTAACCGCTCACGTGTATTCAAGACTGTCTGGTCCTGTGCTTGTCGTGCTGCGGTGGAAATAAGCATTATATAAGGGTACTACTTGCTAATATGTTCAATAGCAATGACCCTCATCCTTACCTGCTCTTAAAACCAGTATAACGTGATTAATCCAGACCAACAGTCAATATCAGGGCCCTATTTGATCATGAAAGATAGAATGTGTCAATTCAACTTCGCCATCACAAGCTTCCACAGATACACGTCCATCTTATTCGCCACTGGCGCTCCCAAAGATTGTCAATTGTCAACTTCAGCACAGTATTGATCTGTTTAGCCCGGGAAAACGAAGTCTGGTCACCGTGAAAGTGGTGTACGTGCTCCGATTGCAAGGTGTATGATTGCGCCATGCTTGATCTCGGATGGACTCAAATATCATGAATGCGCTGGACAACTGTTGATATGGCTGGAGAAGGAGGTGAGGCGCCTTGATGTGATGGATTGACGTGCGAAGTACTCTGTTGCTTTGCTTGAGACGTATTCTTGGAAGTGGTAGCCTGGAAGACGTTCATACCTACAAGCTGGTCTTGAGACAATCTATCCAGTTTGTTTAACCATTATTGGATCAGGCTGTACCTGCTTCAGGGAGGATGACAACCCAGTGACGGCGAATGAAGTCATCCCCCCACCCAGGCATATATAACCACTTGACCAGCACATCTAAGAGGTCCTTCCAGTCAGCTAAACAACTACAATCAATCATCTCTATCATCATCTTCAAGATGCCGCCAATTCGAATCCCGATCTCTCGGTCGCTGAGACCTTACACCCGTAAGTGATAGAGTGACCTCTCATCATTAACCAGACTGACAGAAAATAGACGCTCGATTCCTCGCCACAAAACCATCTGGAGCATCAGGAAACCCCATCTCTAGCAACCCTCAGGCTCATTCTATCAACAAGGCCCGCGGAAGGGAGGCGGGGCACTCGGACGAAGCAGATACACGGTCGGTGCAATCGCCGGTCTCGATGCACAGGGCAAACCCCTCAGAGGCGCACGAGGGCGAGGAGCAGACGAGTGCGGACGCAATGATCAAGAATGATCCCAACGAGCCGACAGAGAAGAAGAGAGAGAATGTGGAAAAAGCGGGGAGCAGGAAGATGGGGCCGGAGGATGAGCAGAAGTCACGGAGGCCTAGGGTTTAGCATGAATATATCTACCTTGTTCACTATGTACATTACAACGTTAAGACCATTGAATGCAGACGATTGATGATCTATCTTGGCAATGATGAGTGTAAAATATAATATAATATCGCATCAGATGAAGCTGATAATCTGTGGAGAAGATGGATGACATCACCGTTGCGTAGTGCATATCTTATCTTTTTCTATTCTTCTTTTTTTATCTGACAGTGACAGATCAAGATATTTTAAAGAGGCGAATCATGGTACCTGCTTATTTTATTTTAGCTCTGACCAAGTCGTAGATCTTATGCATCGGTGATGCCATTCTGCTTTACTACTTCTACATCTACTGTCCGTAAATAACACAACTGCAGAACTGCAACTCTACTCCCTAGAGCAAACAGCAAAATGGGTCCTCTATCAAGTTCTGCATCAGGCGATAAGCTCACCCTCAAGGATGCTGGAGGGAATAGCGTAAGCCTAAGCTTACAGCTTACAGTCTACTGTCGATCGAAACTAAGAAAAATAGGCCCCAGGATCCCGACCCTCGCAACAAGATCAGTACACCATCCTCCTCCCCGCGCAGATCCCCTTCAAGACAGAAAAGACTCTCCTCTTCCTCGGAGTCTACGACGGACAGTAAGTCTCTACGTATCCACGCGATCATGGAATCGTCAAGTAAATACTGATAATCTGATACTGCAGCGTAACATCCGACGTCTCCCTCCATGCCAAACAACACCTCCACCGTCTCATCCTCGAATCCCCCGACATCCAAACAGGCAACTACGAGAAAGCCATCGAAGACGCCGTCCAGAAAGAGGACAACCTTCTCCTCGACCAATTCAAAGCAGGGAACGAGGTGTTTGGCAAATCCGGCTCGACCTTCTCCGTCTGCCTGGTGGATCTCACGGATGGAATCCTAGTTGTGGGAAACCTAGGGGACTCGCACGTTCTGCTCGCTGAGCACCATCCCAATGGCTGGGAGATGGTGAGTACACCTTATCTTCTTGTCAGACGATGCTAATGCCATGGTAGAAACGCATCACGAAAGCACACAAACCGGGCTCCGATGCTGAAAAGGAGCGTATCAAAGAGGCAGGGGGAGTGGTGAATCGCGAGCTCGGGTCCCCGCGAATAGGTAATTTCCTCCTCAGTCCGCATTGTGATTCAATTGTTAATGAACACGAGCAGGCGCCCTCAATATGTCCCGCGCGCTCGGAGACCTCCAATACAAAGCACCCCTCATCAACGCGGATGAGCCCTTCTCGCTCGAGCAGGAGATTGCCGGGTTCAACCCCGAGAAGGAACAGGGGGATCTACTGTCTAACCGACCAGCGATCTCGCGGATTGAGCTCGAGGAGGACAGGAAGTACATCGTTATTCTTACGACGGATGGGGTGACGGACGAAATGGAGGATCGGAGAATACTTGACCGGGTCGTGGCGCATTGGAACTATGGGACGCGAGCCGAGGGCGTCGCGGGCAAGATCACGACGGAGGCGACGGGAGGGCCGATGAGCGATAATGCGACTTGTGTATGTGCTTTTATTTATGGGAGGCAGCATGATTCGGCTTAGCATGGCGTAGCATAGCATAGCATGTGATATGTTCAGCATCTCCCAGACTATGGACATGGGAGATGAATATACCCCGGCTAATTATTGTACTTCCTTCTGGTCATCCATAAACAAATTCGTATATGTCTATGAGTATGGTATGCAACAATCATATGTTTGATATCAGCTCCACCCTGGAGACTATAAATGACATCACATTATCCCCGAACAAACGTCATTCTCTATCTGATAAACAAGATGGCTTATAACCTATTGGATATGAGCCTTCAGAGGTGTGATAATCCAGCAATCCTGATTGCCTGATCAATTTGCATGTGATTGTCCCAGTATAATACTTAACTGCCATCAAGGCCCTCACTTTACCATCCCCATCACGATACATACTCAATTGACCTCCTCACTCTGAGCCACTAACCACAAAATGCCCAGTGTCCCAGACCTCATCCCCGAATCCGACCTCAGCGACCCCAAAATCCAAACAGCAGCCCCAAACTGCCCTGTCACATCCGAGCGTCCCCCAGCAACATCCACCGCAACCTCCATCCCCAGCCCAGCCGTCGCGCGTGCCAACGCCGCCGTCTCAATCGACAAACCCTATGGCGACGCAGACTACATTGCCAAATACGGCGACTACGTACGCCCCTCCCAAAGCCCCAGAAAGTTAATGCTCCAGAAAGCTGACAGACCAGACCCCACTACAACAACACGTCCTCTTCTGGGACCGCGACCACGACGGCCAGATCTACCCGCTAGACACCTACAAGGGCTTCCGGGAGCTAGGCTTCAACGTCCTCTTCTCGCTGCTGGCAATGCTGATCATTAATTTGAATTTCTCGTATCCCACGCGGTTGGCGCATTCGCTGATCCCGGATTTGTGGTTTAGGGTTTATGTTGATGGTATTTATAAAGCGAAGGTGGGCTCTTTTGACTCTGGGAAGGTTGAGATGGAGCTGATGAGAGTGATGCAGCATGGCTCCGATAGCGGGACGTATGATCCTGAGGGACGGTTCATCCCGCAGCATTTCGAGGATATGTTTGCCAAGTATGATCGGGATCAAGACGGGGCGTTGACTCTTGGGGAGTTGTTTGAGATGATGCATGGGAATCGGTGTGCGGTGGATCCGTTTGGGGTAGGTCTTTTCCTTTGGTTTTGATTGATTTGGTTGAGTATGAGGCTAACGGCTGTAGTGGGGTGCTGCGTTCTTTGAATGGGGAACGACGTGGCTGTTGATTCAGCGTGATGGACGAGTTTACAAGGAGGATTTGAGGGGGGTTTATGATGTATGTCGTTTGCAAGGAGTAATGGTGATGATGGTGATGCTGACATGCAACAGGGATCGATATTCTGGAAGATCCGCGAAGAGAGGAAGAAGGGCGGTTGGAAGCAGGGGTATGGCGTTGGAGGGGATGGGTTCGTGGGTGCTGTCAAGATGTATTAATATCCATACATATATGCGGTAGTGCATTGAAGTAAAGATAGTGGAGATATTTCCTATGACATTCTGCAGACCATCCTACAATTCTAATCAGGTTACTTCGGGCAACCTTGCCGGGTGAGATCCAACAGAGATGCTAGTTCCGCATCAGTACCATGGCTCTGCTCCAAAGCTGGTCGTACGGAATCTAATGACCGAAGTTGTTCCTATGGAAGCAGTATCGTTCCAGCATGGCATGAGTTTCATTGACATCTGGACCGAGCGACCTCGTGCTGTGGTAGGAATGCTGTCGTCGCTGGGAAGCATGAGGCGAATGCTGTAGTAACATAAAGTAGGGCATGTTAACAATATCGGCTCCACAGTCCTCACAGCCTACCCAACTGTTGCCTATCAGCAATTGATGGCCAAGCCCATTATCCTCACAGGCTATAGGTCCAATATGTGATATGTTGATTACATCTGTGTGTACCGTATTTCGAAATTTGCAGAAGTAGGTAAGATAAATTGAGAGATTTACTGTACAGCACATAGCCCATTGTCTTTGCAGTCTACTCCCCCCCAATCTATAAATACTCCCATGTCGTCAGCTACCAATAGTCCCTTACTGACGCCTCTCTTTCATCCCTTGCCTCATTTTGCCATTCCTGTCAACAATAGAACATGACTCACTCCCACGACCACAGCCACGACGGCACCAACAATGGCCACGGCCACTCGCACGAGATCCTCGACGGACCGGGCTCATACCTAGAACGAGAAAAGCCCCTCGACGAGGGCCGCGACTGGACCGAGCGAGCCTTTACCGTCGGCATCGGAGGGTATTCATATCTATCCCCTTGAGTTAACCAAGAACCGAGCTAACTGACAGCAAGGCCAGTTGGGTCTGGCAAGACCGCGCTGATGCTCGCGCTCAGCCGGGCCCTGAGAGACGAGTACAACATTGCAGCTGTCACGAACGACATCTTTACCAAGTATGCCACGACTCTGACGAACTGCAGCTACAAGTAGACTGCTAACGGCTTACAGAGAAGACGCCGAGTTCCTCACCCGGAATAAAGCCCTCTCCGCCGATCGGATCATGGCCATCGAAACGGGCGGATGTCCCCATGCTGCCGTCCGCGAAGACATCAGCGCGAACCTGCTTGCGCTGCAGAATCTGCATAAACGGTTCCAGACGGATTTGCTCTTGATTGAGTCCGGGGGTGATAATCTGGCGGCGAACTACTCCCGCGAACTAGCTGATTTCATTATCTACGTGATTGATGTTGCCGGTGGCGACAAGGTCCCCCGGAAGGGTGGGCCGGGTATCACTGGGTCGGACTTGTTGGTTATTAACAAGATTGATCTTGCGGAGGCGGTTGGGGCAGATCTGGGGGTTATGGATCGGGATGCGGCGAAGATGAGGGAAGGGGGTCCGACGATCTTTGCAGAGGTGAAGAATGGGAAGGGCGTGGATGGGATTGTCGATTTGATTCTGAGTGCCTGGAAAGCCAGCGGTGCGTATGAGCTGAGCTTGAAGAGATGGCAGAGTGGTGCCCCACGGGGTTCCGGGTCTGTACACTGACAGATCTCTATCTGATTGCCAACGGTGCATTTCTCTGTCTCAGGCCAGTCAAGAATTGAATATCCTGCTGTAAAGAAGCTCATGCCTCCCAAGCCATAGATCAAGCATAGGAACCACCTGTCCTGCCTGTTCCATACTTGTCCCCCATTCCCTCTCTATCCGCTCCAGAATCATATCCTGCAGACTCTGACTAGCAAGGATCGACTGAGCCCGGTAAGGACCCATGACAGACGCCCGCACAGCAGCGCTGAGCACCGCCTTTGCATGGTTCACCATAAATACATACGTCGCCTGCTGTACCGCCAGTCCCATCGCCAGACTCACCGCGCCCCACAGCGGCGCAAAGTGACCCTTGGCCCCTAGTTCCTCGCCAGTGCCATCGCTACCCTGTAGAGCTTCAAAAAGGCCCTCCAGGGCCTGCTTGGCTCTTTCTGCTGCGCTACTACCCCCGTCAGGCGCAGGGGCATACGCCTGTCGAAACGCTCTAGCCCATACGCTAAGCAGAGCGCGGCCCTGGGAAACGCTCGCCCTTTGCGCAACGATACAGGTTGTTGCGGCGTCCATGTCATTGTCAATTGTTTCCAGGGCCACGGGGTGTCTGTACGCCGCCAGTAGATAGGGCAGAGAAGTACTCGCCGTCGAGGCGATGGAGAGACTGAGGAACGAGAGGAACGCTGACAGCGAGCTGGTCGACGAGGCGCGGAGTTTTGCGTGAGCCAGGTACGATTCTAGACCGCTTGAGTAGGCGAAGGATCCGAGTGGTAGGGCCGAGTCGGAGAGGAGGAGGAGCGCATGGCCTGGGACTAGGTTTGAGGAGTCTTATAACGTCAGCGTGCAACACACAGTACTCGGTGAGCGTCGACATAAATACCTCTGGAGGTCTTGATGTGAGATGGCAATTTGAGGCCGTTCAGACGAGACTCTGTACCCGGGGCCTTGTCTTCCGGAGATTGATCAACGGTACTCGTCTTTTCGTACATGTTGAGGGTTGTCGATGCGCGAGAGATAATTAGTTCAGGATGATGGTCAGTATAGCATATGGATAATGGTCTACCTTATGGCGTTGGCACAACTCAGGCCATATGGAAAGGAAGGGGTCCGTACCGCGTAATGTAATGAAAGATGAAGTATACATATCACTGTATTTGCAAGACCCAGGATGTAGGATTTGATCAGGATATACAGAGCTTTGTGTTTTACACTATGGAACTTCACCTGGGCTGGGATTGGTGGAACTTTGGCTGCAGTGGCTGATTCTCATGTCGTGCTACGTCAAGGCAACCAGAGCAGGCAGCATGCTGCATTCGAAGGAACGGCGAGAAAGTTTTAATCTACTGTCGACCCTCTTCATTGAAAGTGGCAAAAGCAATATCACCTAGTTTGAGGGGAGTCATATTTGTATGTGCTATATCTTCCACTCGTGCAGATACCAGCCGCTTATATCACTGCAGAGATACCACACAGACCGTTACTGAGCACATGAGAAGCTATCTAGGTCAGGCGGATTTAGACGGGGTGAGTTACAAGCAAAGCAAAGCTTCTTCACCAAACTCTGCTGCAATGCTGCCCTCTTCCCGCAGGAGATCACCCAGCCATCTCTTCGCTCCGTCCACATCCTTTGCTCCAAATTTGACGATCACAAAGCTGGCTCGCACTCGTGCAGCAGTCCATACAACGTCTGCTTCGCCTTTCGACAAAGGCGTCGAGGATGACGACCAGTTCTGGGATCCTATACGCGGCTGTGACTGGAATCGCTGCATGAAAAAGGCCGCCAGCTTCTCAAACACGGGTCCGTAAAGTATAAGGGTCCCAATGATGCCGTTCGATCCAGTGCGTTGGCGAATAAGGCCCGTGCCCGTGGCCGCGCACATCTCTCCTGCTTGCTCTTCCGACTCGACATCAAGTATAATCGCGTCGCGCAGCAGGAGCTTCTTGGCCCCATTCCCATCCACAGTCCACACCTCGTTCTTTCCCCGCCACAGGTGGAAATCCCACTTCTCTCCCAGTGCGGTTCGGCCTTCCGTGACCCAGTCCAACACGCAGAGGCTACTGCGGTTGTTGACCTCTGTCGCCCAGTCCACGGTGAACACCTGGATCTGCTCGTAGCGGCTGTCTTTGAACGGCACATTCGGGTCAGGCAAGTAGCAGAGTGCGGCCTGTCTCTCGATGCGAACGTCCAGGGTCTGCCGGCTCATCCTGTTCAGGCCATTTGCGGGAACTGCTAGTCGGCTCCGAGCTTTATTTGTAGCCTCTGTGCGGTAGATTTTGTTACATCCTTGCGGGGTACTGATCACCAGTCTCGTTTGCGGGTTGAGGATGATGGAGACGGAGATTTCGTCGCCGGGCAGCAGGCCGCCGCCGTAACTGAGGATGTATAGGTGGACTGGCCGCGAAACGCATGGCAGCGCGGATGACTGGGGAAGAAAGCGGGGCGAATGGGTGAGTAGCTTTAGGGGATATTTGTAGGATAGAGTTGTAAAGCTTGGGATGGACGGTGGAAGAAGTGCGAGGGCCACCTTGCCATGACCAGCCGGGGAAACGACAGAAGATTCAAATGGTGATGGCATTATGTTATGGAGTCGTGTATGTGAACCGGTGGAAGAGGTTATATCCATAAGCAACAATGTAGGGAACTGTTGTTCGGACATATCTACAAGAGGGTTCTATCCATGCCTGAGAAGTCGACCAGCGTCCTCTCACGTTTCCTATCAAGATCAGACAGGTCAGGAACTGCAGAACTACACCAAATGAATATCCGAAATCCAGTTTCTTTGCTTTAGGGTTAGCGTTTGCACTCTCGAAGACGGGTACTTGTCGACCTGCAGGGCAAAAGTATGACCAAGGTGAACTTTGCCCTGTTGCCTCTCTTGCGTTCGCTCCAGATGCATCTGAGGGATGACGTGGCATAGAGCCCTGCAGGAAGCCCTGCAGAAGCCATAGCTTACCTGGTGTGACAGTGTAGCTGGCATGCATCCCAAATAGTTGACTTGACCGCTCATTTGGAAATCGATCTTCTCCTTTCAGGTCTGCCACAACCTGCCATGCAGATCTCTCCTTGACATTTCCCTGTTCCAATGATAAGGTTTATGCATCACTCGTGTTCATAAGGCAAAGAGAATCCTTGCTCTGCTGTCAAGCCGTCCGGTGTAACCTCAGCACCCATTTGCATCAAAGAACACCTGCGATAGCAAATACTTCGTAGTACAAATAGATTCCTTGCAAACGAGTTGCCGCCTGAACTCAGAATCCTTTGACCAGAGACTCTGTCATCATTTGATATCTGCAATGGCCGGCAAGCTACCTAAAAGCGAAGTAGAATTCGCAGCCGAGTACCTGCGAGCCGAGACGCGGCACCCATGGGATCCCTCACCCGAAAAGCAGGACATTTTCGACCCAGCAGACGAGAAAACCTTTGAGAGCCGCATCCTCCTCGAAGTGGTCACCAACTACGTCGTCAAGCATGGCAACAATCTAACCCACCATGATAGCGTGCCACACCATCCCCGCGGACACGCGATGGAGCTGACCCGCCCCCTGGACCCTTCCTACGAACGGTACCGATACCTGACTGTCATGGCGGGGCCCAGCTTCAAGAATATCCAGCGCGTGCAGCAGATCCATGGGTCATCGGACTACATGGCTGCGTACAAGTTCGATACGAGCGGAATCATTGATTCCGCTTTGGTGCCTACTCTGGTGCCTGATGTCTGGAAGGAGGGCGATCGCCAGAAGGACAGTCCGGACGAGTATACCCAGGAGGATTACCTCTGGGTAGACATGACGTATCCACTGCGCGAGATCTACATCCCCAAGAGGCGCTATCACTGTCCGCGCTCGAACCGGCTCGTCTGCGTCTATACTCACATCGACTTCCAGAGGAAGCACAGCCTCACGACGTACACGTATACACCCAAGCAGAACGGGATTCCAGATAATGAATACACGCGCGAGGAGCCCGATCTGCCGCCCTGCGAGAAAGAACGGCAGAGGCGTGAGCCGGACCAGTGGCCCGTCGGGTTCAGAATCGGCACCCAGGAAATGGTACAGGGCGAGCCGTCGCTTGGCTGGGGCGTGAAGCCTGAGTGGACGGCTCGGTTCCAGATTGATGCTCTCCGTAAACTGCCGAACGAGGCTGATGCGCGGGAGTACATCAAGCTGTTTGATAGCGGTGGCTTGGTGATTCGACCCGGTGGGGAAACGAAATTAAGGGCAGAAAAGGTGAAGACTAATCCTGTGCACAGAATGGATGTGCCCGAGGTGATTCGGCTGCCGATTCCGCCTGTGTCATAGTGTCATAGCTGTCACATAGCATACCTTTATGCTAGCTAGTAGTCCTTGCACCAATCTCATAATCGGTTGTCCACTACAGTTTCCAAGACCAATCGAGTATGGAAATTCTGGAGAGCAAGGAGATTCTACTATAGTCCCCTAGTCTCATCGTATAAAGCTGTAAACGAGCATATACTGCGATAAATAATCCGGTGTCATTCAAATAAACTATGCCTCCCCAAACGGCAACACGGACAGAAATGCAGGCCCGAACAGCTCCATGAAATTCGCACCCATGTCATGAGAACATACCTCTGTTCCTGATTCAGAATACGAAATAGTCTTGCGTAAGGGGCAACGCCGTTGCAGGAGCCACGTCGCATACTTCACCGTTGGCTCTGACTGTCTGCAAGCAAGCCCTTATTAGATAAAGTGTGGACTCTCCGTCATGAATATGCTGGACTTACAAAGGTCTCCGGGTCAACCTCCATCTCGGGCATCTCGCTATTGTACTTCATGTGCTTTTTGCTTAGGGGCTCAGGCTTCGGTTTGGGATCCGGCTGTATCTGGTTCGTGTCTATTGTTCGGCAGTGTTTGACGGCCTCGATGGTCTTTTTTAGGCCGTATTCCTCCTCGACCTTGTTTTTGGAGGCCTGAGACACGAACATGATTGATGTTCGTGGGACGTGGGGCTACAGGCGTCAGCACAGCGCATGAGCAGTTGGTAAGCTGAGAGGGATGCTTACCGCGAACTGGGGCCGCATTACCATGGGCTCGATGGTCGGGATTGATCCGTTCGGATCGCCCTAGAGAGTGTTAGAGAGTCGCCATTTGCGTTGCAACAGGAGCTTACCCCTAGAGAGACCGCAATCATCCCACTCTTCAACACCTGCAGCGGCTTGGTGCCAAAACTGCTTGGGCTCCAAATCACCAGATCGGCCAGCTTGCCCTTTTCAACGCTTCCGATCAGATGCGACATGCCCTGCGCAATGGCAGGATTGATCGTATACTTGCTAACGTATCGCTTAACGCGGTAATTGTTCACCCGGGCGTCGTGGGGGTACTTCTTCTTGTCTTCGGGTAGTTGGCCTTCTTGTTCGTTCATTTTATGGGCTGTGTGCCAGGTACGAAGAATGACTTCTCCCACACGACCCATCGCTTGTGAGTCTGAAGACATGATGCTGATCGCCCCCTTATCGTGGAGGACGTCCTCGGCGGCAATGGTTTCAGCACGAATGCGACTCTCCGCGAAAGACACGTCCTCGGAAATCTCCTTTGACAAATGGTGTGCGACCATCACCATATCTAGATGCTCATCGACCGTGTTCAGGGTGTACGGACGCGTGGGATTCGTGCTCGCCGGAAGCACGTTGCTGTGCTCAACGACTCTGATGATGTCGGGAGCATGGCCGCCCCCAGCACCTTCTGTGTGGTACGTGTGGATCACACGATCCCCGATAGCTTCAAGTGTCTGGTCCACAAAGCCACTTTCGTTCATGGTGTCGGTGTGGATCATGCACTGGACGTCGAATTCATCACAGACGGCCAGGCACGTCTTGATCACTGCCGGAGTCGCACCCCAGTCTTCATGGATTTTCAGACCAACAGCCCCAGCGAGGATTTGCTCCTCGAGGCCCTCTTTGCAACTGTTATTTCCTTTTCCGGTGATGCCAATATTGACTGGGAGGTCATCGCAGGCCTGGATCATTCGCTTGATATTCTCAGGGCCGGGCGTGCATGTAGTGGCGTTTGAACCAGTTGACGGGCCTGTTCCACCACCCAGGAAGGTTGTCAGACCGTTGCAGAGCCCTTCCATCACCTGTCCAGGGTCGAGGAAGTGGATGTGCGTGTCGATTCCACCAGCCGTGATGATTTTGTTTTCCCCAGCAATGACATCGGTATTGGCCCCGATAATTATACCTTCATCGATATCATTCATGGTATCAGGATTCCCGGCTCTTCCAATGCCAGATATCTTGCCGTCTTTGACGCCTATATCCGCCTTGAAGATGCCCGAATGATCGATGATCAAGGCGTTGGTTATGACCGTGTCCGCGCAAGTGTAGCCCTTTCCTCCCCCGGAAGATCCATTGCTGGTCTGGCCCATCCCGTCTCGGATGGTTTTACCACCGCCAAAGTTGCACTCATCGCCGTAGTACTTGGACTTTCTACAGTCGCGTTCCACCTCAACCCACAGATTGGTGAGTCCCAGGCGGACCAGATCGCCTTCCGTGGGCCCAAACATCTCGCAGTACTTCTCTCGCTCCATCACACAAGGATCAGGGGCTGGCAACCTAACTGGCCTACCATCATGGCAGAATTCCTTGGACCTCAGTCGCTCTTCAATCTCTCTGATTTTGCCTTGGTCAACCTTCCCCGGGGCGATCCAATTGCCCCCTTGGATGATCTTATGCCCTGCGATTTTGACCAGGTTCACAACCTTCTTCTCGCCCGGTTCGAACCGCACAGATGCCCCCGCAGGTTTATCCAACCGGTATCCGTACGAGTGAATGCGATTGAAAAGAAGTTTTGGATTGGTCTCGATAAAATGGTAATGCGAGCCGACCTGCAGGTCACCTCATCAGTACTCTTCTGGAGGAATCCTAGTATGGGTCAAGTATACCTGGATCGGCCGACTCCCACAATTCGTAACCTCAAGACACCGTCTGGTCCTCCCCTCGTTCAGCGTAATGGGAACGGGCTTTCCGTCCTCCCCTTTCAACAGGACTATAGCTCCCGGCGCTTTCTCCTCGTCATAGTCCGCCGGATCCGAAGACGGGAACGGGTCGGACGGCGGCACAGGCAGACCGCTCCCGTACAGCGCCTTTGCCAGATCCCCCTCCTCATTGGCAATCGGGTGTTGCACGGTGACGAGGTACGTGCCTGTTGGGAATGTCCCTTCTATCTGTAGCTGGCGGAGCGTGAACCAGACGGAAGGAAGAACATGTCGCCTGCCGAGGATGGACCGGCCCAGGGCCATGAGGTCCGCCACTGCATAGTGTCCGTCGCGGATGAGCTACGTCAAGTCAATTCAGTTCATGAAAAAGCTAGTTGGGTGCCTTACCTCATGGAGAACAGAGGAGATCAGGGCCTATGATCAGCAGTCATCAGCGAAAGGATCAATATGACTGGGACAGCAAGGGATACATACAGCAGCTTCAGCGTGGTTGAGTCGGATACCGCGTGATAGGCGCCGTTGAGCCAGATTTCCGAAATGAGCGATAGTAAGCTTATCCAACTGGTTGCGAGACTCTGTTAGCGACTGTCCAGCCTTTGACGGCAAGGAGGAGCGGGTCTTTGCAGAGGCTATGTATGTATACCTCCCTGGGAATCAGATGCATCTTGACAATAGTTGATTCTGATAATGACTATGGGATAGACAGTCGTGGGTGCTATTCAACATTGACTATATCTTGTTTTTAAGCTGTCAAAGCATAAAAGCCACCACTAGTGCGGTTATCCTTTCCGTGTAATAAGTTGATACTTGAATAGGTTCCTGACATGGCTATAGGACTCGGATTCCGCATCAGCTAGGTCGTTCTGTCATTCCCTTATGCTGACAAGTTACATTGTGTGCGCTGGACAATGCATGCTGCTATAGCTGCAGTACAGGTAGGATTTGAATTAGCAGGCTCCTCACTAGGTACAGTCCTGAGAACAGTCCGCATCAAGGCAACTGGAGAGCTGCCTTCTGGCATGATACCAAATCAGCTCCATTTATTCCAACCCCACGAAGCAGATCTGCTATTTAAGATTCAAACTAATGCAGTCACAACAGCAGCTTACCACTGGTGCATCTGCATCTACGAAGTCACCAAAGCCCACTCTCCTACTGCCAACTGCAATGGGTAAACACACAAGTACAACTCATCGCACATGACAACTGACGAGGTCCGTTCATTGCAGATGAGATGGATCCATTCAGATTCTGCAGCACCAGGTGCCTAGGACATGTCTCACAGTAGGTGCAGGGATCGACACATGGCAAAGTATCCTACCAATGGCATCTGGAGGAAATGCATGCACACGTTGCTTTTGCTAAACATTGTGCTTGGTGTAGAGGTAGTAGCGGGGTATTCTAAGCATGTATGGAATGCTGATGGTTTCTCTTTGTAATGGTACTGTATTTTATAATTTCAGGAATCAGGACAGAGTAGAGTATTTGCAATTGGGTGGTAATGGTAATATATAGTGATGGCGGATAAAGATGGACTCGTCCGTAGTCTCGCCCGAAATGATTTGTCTCATAGCAGCAACACTGCTATGTGCACCTTCTTCCCTCTGTCCAGTAGTGTTGGCTCGGGGCGAGTTCCCAGATTGATATAGAGATGTACTATCGAAATATAATACCACTAGGCTAAAAAGGTGTCCGGACATGATTCCTATCAGTCTAGGGTCTTATACTTTTCAACATGTACCTAGGTAGACGGAAGTTGTCACCATGACGTAAATGCTTGGCAATCAGATAAGGTAGACATCTCCGATAGTTATATGATTGCACAGTAGTGAGGGTAATAGATGTGATTTCACCATGACATTCTCCAGACTCAATTGCACTTTATGATTCAGGTTACTTTCGGGTCAGCCTTGTTTTCGGTTGCGATCCGAATAGAGAAACTAGTCTCCGCGTCAGCGTCCATGGCTTCCCCAAAGCCGGTTGTACCGAATCGAAGGAAGATATTCCCTGTTAATTCAGGGACGTACATGGAGTTTCTTGGCAAATCCGTTGAATCAATGTGCCTCTGATGTAGTGATCTCCTTCAGCCTTGGACTATGGTTGGGATGAATTGCCGTCCTGGTAATCATAACTAAGCTCATCTATTAAGAATGACGTGCATTCGGCATCGCATATCCCGGCACCTCTAAAGCCGGAAGTCAACGGCCCAGTTCTGCAGACGATGTAGCCCAGCCAAGCGTCATGATGCAGTATTGCAGCAAGTTTAATAGTCGTGACCCACTTGGTCGGTTCTTTCCAAGCTTGAATCAGCACTGATTGATAAGTCCACTGGGCTAGATCCATA